AACTCATCTGAAGTTAGGAAATAAATGCGTATATATTCCAAAGTAATGTCGTCGGTCCAGCTGACAGACACCAAATTCAGAGTCTCGAAGAGCTTTCGTGATTATATTCCCATCTTGGCGCCGGATAGTTCTCATACGGATCGTTGGTGATGTGTTACTTCTGTGCTGACGGAGACTTGCTACCGATCGACAGCTGTTGAAGCAATACTGCCCTGGAATATAAGAGAAGAGGCGAGAAGAAGGGGAGAAGAGGAGACTGTCCGAGTCCGCCACGATGATAACCGTTGACTTTGCCTCGGTCTGAACAGTGTTGCTACAGCTATAGGTTCTGGTAAGGAAACAGTACCTACGAAATGGTAACGCTCGCCGCATTTGCCCAATTTCTCATATTTATGGACTGTATACAACTTTTATATAAGAAGAAACTGAAAGGTTCGCCCCAGTGACCTGATTGTGGACACAGGTAGACACGTTTCAGGGTCGCTAGGTGTCTTGAAGCATTCCCCTAGAGGGAGCAGCTTTGTGATAAAATATATAAGAAGAATCTCAAAGATTGAAGACTGTTACAACGAGAAAAGGATCGGAGGATTTCGATCTGCTCTTGGGTAGTAGCAGAGCTCACTATTCCATGTCTTTTCATTCTACCACACCGCAAATCATACTCTACCCATACCTTTAGCAGAGAAGACACATCGACTTCCACGAGTTCTGCCCCCCTTGGGCTAATAGGGAGGAATATGCGAAGACCAATCGGTGATGGACATGAATGATGGTTGTATTCCGAACCTTCTAGAACCTTACCTTGAACCAGTCCTGACATCTCACCTCTGGGTCTCACCGAATCAGTCGTCAGTTGGTGAGACCCCCAATTTCCGCGGACCAGTCTTCATTTTGGCTCGTTGCTTCTTCTCAGAATGGGATTTGCATCATTAAATACATGTGCCTGAGGGTGTACCTAACGACAGGGATCGCGGTGAGGCGTTCTAAGAGGGCGGACCATAAAAGCACGGCATGGCGGACGAACTTTCCTCGAAGCGACGGGCCAAAAATGTGCGGAGTATTTTCCCATACTGCCAAAGAAATTGCGGAAGACTTCGTCGTTCTCACTGACTCTTAAGCTACTCTCGTTCGCTGTTATTACATGGTCTGCATCCTCTCCGAAGGCCCAAATAGTTCTGACATTTGCAGAGTATTCAAGACGTATAACCTCGCGACTTTCTCGGAAAAGAGATATAAATTACATGGAAATATCCGCAGCTCAAAGAGACACTGAAGAGAGACCGGCCAGTCAAGTCTCAGGGCCCTTGGTTCTCTAGATTGAGAATCGTAGCGACCGTGATGACAGCGCTTATCTGTGGCCGGGAATATTCGGTTCAATGAGGGCATGCTTGGTCTTTATGCTCAAATCTATGGCGGCTTAAAGAGCAAGGCAGAGGCAGGCCTTCTTTAAAGGCCTTTAGTTATGGTATCTATCGGAGACCTGCGGCGGAAATGATCATTGTCAGCATCCGTCTGGTTTCAGGGACCTATCTGAAGTTTACTAGTCTAACCGAAGTTGCGTCGATGCGACTAATACACCACCAGCTCCAGTCCTTGTGCCGCTATAGTCGCTCACGTATTAGACATGACTCCCTCAACACGGGGGGGGGGGATCAAGAATCGGCGTCGATGGGTGTAGCAGGTGCTGGGATGGCAAAGGAAGCCACTACGAGAGCATTTTAAGTGTCGCGCAATCGCTAAGAGGGAGAATGCCTTGGCCCATATTTAATTGTCCGACAACGATACATGTTTTTGGCCACTGGACATATTTATTGAGATCTTCTTTGTTCCTGGAAACTCGAAAGCAATCCGTCTTTTCATCCGTGCCTGAGCCCCGTATTCTGGGAGAATATTTGGTTCTCAGTCGTGCCTCAATCAGGATGCCCACAGCAGAGATGAGACGCATGAGTCTAGGACATCTCATTGTAGCTGTCACAGTATTGCACTCCAAACATCGTATACAAGGAAGAAAATGAGAGCTGGCAGTGAATGGAGCTTACAATAAGCTGCGATGTACCGGGATCAAGACACCCCAGAAGTTTCACCATTATCGAGAATTCCATTTGTCGTGTTCCAATGGGGGAAGACCTCGAAATGATGATAATCGATGGACTCGATTTCATTTGTAAGTACTACGACTTTCTTGGCAGAAATGTACTTTTATTTGTTTCCGAAGTCAGGTAACTTTGAGATATCCTCTGCCAAGAAACTCTCCTTGGAGCGCGCCGTATGTTGACCTCTCGGGCTGTATGGCTACAAGCTACACGGCTGTTTGACCGCTCTTCCCTGCTCCACATGTCAATAACCATTTGTAGACGCACAGCGGTAGCATGAGACACGCTTCAATTGCAACGGCTGTTGACTAGGGCGTGTACGATGAACTGACCGGAAGCAATCGATCTCATGCTACTTTCCTGAGCCAACTGTCCCGGGAGATCTGTTGGTATAAAGTCATGTACCAGCTGAGTACGACCGCCAATCTACGCGAATCTTGGGAATCCAAAGGAAGGATGAATTTGTTTCCTTGCCCAATCTGTGCCCATGGTCAAAATGGTCTTTTGATATATACTGGGTTGGTAGTTGGGCAGCATAAGTGAGTGAGATGCATGGATTGAAGCCGACTTGTTGTTAACATTGCGGTATTACACCCGAAGACATCATATACGGCCAAGAAGGTGACGGATCAAGAAGAATGACATTCATAGCATTCAAAAAGCGCTGATTATCCTCATAGAAGGTTTCTGTTGCAACATTCCAAAGTGTATAAGCCCGCCAAGCAACGACAAAGTCACCCTGCTGCTACTATTGGTTTCCCCTGGTTCATAGAGTCGAAGTCGCTTATTTAAATACATGGTGACAAGCAAGGTCAAGTTTCAAAGCTGACTACCTGATGTGTAAACGATGGACTGGTCGGAAACTCTTGACTCTGATCTAACCGAAGGATCGCCACACCATGATGATCCACTGAACTCTATGTTCAAATGCTTGATCTGGAGCGAGTGACATGTTTGCGGACGGCGGGCTCTCAACCTGATGGAATTCATTGCCCCGCGACTTGGCCGTATACGTGTTGGAATACTTCAATAAAATTAACAGCTACCAATGGAGCGACTGATGGAGAAGGGGGCTAGCAGGATCGCTACAAATAAGCAAGCGCGAAGGCAGTATTTTATGCGTACCATTGCCGAAAATACTTATTCCGAAAAGACACGAAGCCAGGAAGATCTCATTTGCTTCGAAATAGCTTTGCCAAAGGGGGCATTATGAAGGCAGCCCTTTTCAATTGACGATCGATCATGCTTGTGGCTTGGGCTATGCAGTTTCTCGAGAAGGTTATAGTAAATGCGCATATCTCAACTCCATCGGGATAGAGAAAGCAGGCAATGTAAGAACAAGTTGAGAATAGGAAGATCCCCGATAAACTAATTGAGCTGATGAGCCTCGACAAAATCTAGCTGTCTCCAAGTCCTAGTAACCGACCATGAAGCCGCCTGCCGTCTCTAGCCATGTTCTGTTGTTGAATCTCGAGGTATCCCCATGCGAGCGTGGTGAAAGAATGAGGACAAGACTTCGTTCAAAGGACAGAAATCCCGAGAGCGAAAAGATTTCGAAAGGACCCCTGACTCCCGAAGCCAAACCACCACGAGCAAAAACGGACATTGTGTCTTTTGAAAGACCGAATGTGCTCAAGACCACATATTTATCATGTAGAGACACAGCCTTACATATTGCGTAGGCGTGTGCTCGCTTTCTCGCTTTCGGTCTACATCAGAGGACCAGGAAACCCAACTTCACAAGTGAATAGGCAATCACGTTCTGGAAGGAATCGATAACAATGATCCTCACCATCTTCCACCCTAGAAAGCCTGGGGATTCCTTGATTTCCCCTCTTTTACAAATTCTTGAAGCTGTCACTCAGCCGGGGCTGCCAGCATCCTCCAATGGGGGAGACGGAAACAAAGTCTATTGGCGTCTAGTCGGAGCCTGGAACTAAAGTCAAAAATCTGGAAGGATCTCAGAGTTGTCATTTTGAATACTAACTAGGCGGAAGAACGACTCCGTTATCTGGTTGCCAGCGCTATTCCCGGATGTCATGCTTATCTCGGTCTAGGTCATGACGTTTTTGGAACGGGAAATCCGGCAGAAAACTTTCGTCGGGGCTTTCACGGTGTTCGCGCGCCTCTGTTTCAATCTCATCTTGGCTGTCGCAAGCTCAAAGTTCCATGGTGAGGGGCCTCACGAAGTCAAAATCCCGACGACGAGTCATGCCGCTTCCAGAACTATACATACATTCGCACAATCGGTCCACCTCTCCCATGGTGGTTTTGGACAAACGCGATCAACTCTGAGATAGGCAAGCTTCCTGAAGTAGCATGCCCCGGCAACCAGCATAACCAAACACCATCTCGTGCGTTGCCGCCAGAGGCATGCCGCTGCCGTTTCGCCAGTTCTTTGTGAAAGGAAGCATTCTCCCTTTCCAGGCGCCGACATGGCAACCGAAATCGAAGCCGGGAATGACATACCTGCTGCTGGCCTGCGTGTTGGTCACAGCTGCTGTGAGGAGAACACCACACGATGCTTATCTGTCGCAATGCTCTGACCATCAAGTAGATGCAAGGTTACGACGGGGCGATGATGGGCGGCATGAATATCCTGCCGCAGTATAGCGACTATTTCAAGCTGACCACCGCCACTCGCTCGTTGAATATCGCCACTAATTATATCGGAGGGTGCTTATCTGTAAGTTGACCTCAGCCTGCAAAGTCAACAAGATGAGAACATATCTCTCTCGGCTCTCGTGTATGGAGGCTTAGAGTCTTAAGACTACAAAGGCTAACTCGGCGGAGTGTCTTTGCTGGGGATGGGTGACAGATACTTACAGCCGACGGTTCGGACTATTTTGGTCTGCCATGATCACAGTCTTCGCAGCCATATTGCAAGCGTCCTCACAGCACATCGCCATGTTCTGCACCGCCCGAGTCATCATCGGCTTCGGTACCACCGCCTCCGTAATATCCGGTTCCGCATACCTCGCCGAGACGCTCCCATGGGACCAGCGCGCGTGGGGCCTCGCCCTCTTCGACGACTGCTTCTACATCGGCGCCTTGACCGCCGCGGGCGTGACGTACGGATCCTTCAAGATCAGCAGCAGCTGGGCGTGGAGGCTGCCGAGTCTGGTGCAAGGGGCGTGGGGGCTGCTCTGCATATCGTTGCTGCCGTGGCTGCCGGAGAGCCCGCGCTGGCTGGTCGATCAGGGACGCGCTTACGATGCGATAATGGTTCTTGCGCAGGTGAATGCTGGAGGAGACACGGCGGATGAGCTGGTTCGGCTGCAGTTTCGACAGATTTGCGAGACGATTGGGTACGAGCGGGATCCGATGACCTGCAAGGAGGCGGTCCGCAACCGTGGGGCGAGGAAGAGACTAATTATTACAGCATCGTGCGCGCTGATATCCATGCTGACGGGCAACATCGTTTTCATGTATAATGTCGGCAAGATGTTGAGCCACGCAGGCGTCAGTGACGAAGGGACCCAGCTGCTTGTGGTAGGTTGCTCACTCACGAACCGAAAAACTTTGACTTGAGATTCTGACGACACAAAGAATGTTGGGCTAAACGGCGCATCTCTGGTTGTATCAATTTGCGGAAGCTACTACACAGACAAGAAGGGGGCAAAGTCTGCCGCGCTCATCAGCACAGCGGGAGTAACCGTTGCCCTCATCTTGCTAGGCGTCCTGACCAAGTTCTACGGCGACACCACTTATACCCCCGGGATCTGGGCGACGGTTTTTGCGGTATTTTTGTTCTCGATATCGTATGCCTTCGGATGGATCCCCATTCTCTTTCTGATGCCGGCTCAAATGCTGTATTTCCGTATCAGGGCCAAGGGCATGAGCATGTTCAGCTTCATCATCTGCGCTGTTGGCATTGCCGGTAACTTCGCCTATCCTATTGCCATCGACGCCGTAGGTTACTGGGTTTATATCATGAACGGTGGATGGAACGTGCTCTTTTTCGCCTTCATCTGGTGGTACTGGGTAGAGGTCCTGGGAAAGACCCTTGAAGAGATTGATGCGCTGTTTGACGGAAGAAAGCACACTGATACGCCAAACGTGGAGGCTGTTGTGGCTGGCCGAGAAGATGAGAGGTGGAAGACGAGTCTGAGTGAGTGGATGAAAGAGAGGCTTCCCTCAGGGTCGCCCGTCTCATGTAGATAATCCTTAGTAAAGACGACAGCTCTACTATACTTCCTCTGGTCTAGCCTTTCGTAGCGCTCAGGGTTAATATAATATAATAGCGTGGCTATAAATTTCTTCTTGCGACATGTTCTGTGAGACGGCCGGTACTTCCGCCAAAGCATAAGACCGCAAAAGGTCCGTGTTCATTCCAATCACATCCTTCTATACACTTTTGGATATGCACACTTACGATGATACGCATGATTCAAGGGTGGTCAAATACAGAGAGACCTAATACCTTGGTGACGGTAGTCATTAGCCACAATGACGATGAATGACGAACACAAAAATACGCCATGCATATTGGTATACCAATGTGAAATCACTGAGAGAGGTATAGAACTCGTTTCTCATGAGAACACACAGACTGAATTATGGCAAGCACATTGGTTTGCTGTTAAAGATCTGAGAACTCTTACAACCAGTCTGCTTAAATACCCTTAAAGTTCACATGCTTCTCAGATGGAGGACACCGCGGTGCTTATCCCATTTCTCGCGCCAAACACTATCCAAAGTACATATCTTGGACCTCGCAAGCCAAACTTGCAAAGGAAGGGCCAAGAAAAAATGCGATGATTCGAACCCATAGTCGTCATTTCCTATCACGACTGAAGACTTGCGTAAAGTGTTTCGTTCTCAAGCTACGCATAATCACATAGCCGAACTTTTGCTTGAGGGGCTCAGCTGCGTTGACTTCATGTCGTCTTAGTCCGGCTTCAGTGACGCCGAAGTATTCATGCTCGTCCCAGGGGACGAAGGTGCTACATCTACGGAAGTGCCGTTATTACAAGGGGGCATTCGTTGTCGGCTGAGATTTCGGCATTCAGTACCTGGCTGTGAGTTTTATGATTTCAGACTCACCCCTATCATTGCTATGGGGGAACCTATGATTTTGATTAGCAGCGCTTTCTTAAATACTATTGGCTAACACCAAAATCGCGAGTGTGAACAGCGTCGCTGGAGCGGCAGTCTGCAACCACCCCAGATCGTCCTCAAGACTCCCGATTAGCTACTCATGCCGGAACCCTTCCTACTGTCAGGCATCAACCCAAAACGTATATAAGCCCCCCCAAGCATCGACACCAACAAACAAGACAGCAAAGACCCAATGGCCTTGATGCTGTTGTTGCAATGCAACTGGTCTTAACCAACGCTTGTTTATGGCATAACCAGCCGCAACCTCATTCCCGCACTTCATCCGAGATCCTCAGTCTTAGCTACAGCCATCAGTGCCTGTCCCCAGTCACTTTCTACGGATTATTCACCGGACACCGACGGAGAAGAGACGAATCCCATCGCAGACAACCCAACAGACCCAGGAAAGCCAACAGCAGCAGGACTCGCCAGCAAACGAAGCCATGGCCGTCTATTCGCCGTCTATTCATCCTGGTAGAAAAGCTTCAAGACGTTAATCTGTCGGCCGTAGTCCAGTAGTTACCAACCATTGGTTTTATATCCCAGTCCAAATAGAGCCTGAAAACATCTTCACGAATGCACCACGAGCAGGCGCCGCGCATACCCATCTGTTCGTTCTGTATTCAAACCCCATGCACCTTTCACCGCTGCGCATCATCTGCACTACCATCCCTCTTTCCAAACCTTGCCCCGAACCCGCCGATGTCCCTCCTAAAGAACTTGCCAAAGTTCTTCAAGTTCTCATTCATCGTCGCCGGTCCGCCCGCGCCCTGCCCCAGATCCCTCGTCGCGCTGAGCAACTTCTCGCCCAGCGACGTCGCGTCGAACTTGGTCTGCAGCCCGGGAATGACGCTGCTGCCCGCAGCGCTCGTCAGCCCCAGCGCGCTCGCGCCCGCCCCGGCGCCGCCGATGACGCCCAGCCCCGAGCTGCCGAGCCCCGTCGTCGCCATGAGCGGCGTGAGCAGCGGGCTCTGCGCGACGAGCTTGTCACTGAGGTTGCCCTCGCGGTGCATGGCGAAGAGCTCGACCAGGTGGCCCTGATCTCCCTTGCGCACGCCCTTGAGCTCGAGGATCTTTTTGAAGTTGGTGTCGGAGCGGTCGCCGATGTGGATAAGGTAGGCCTGCACCAGACCTTCTGGGGGCGACGGGCGGACCTGGAGGGTCTTGAGGAGCGGATCGATACGGTTCATGGTCTGGTTGACGCGTTTGACGTAGCCTGCTGGCGCGGTGTGCGGTCCGGTGTCCTTGTTGTGGAACGACAAGAGGTTCTCGAATGCCTTGGTCAACACGTACTTGTCGAGGAGCATCTAGCATGTGTTAGTAACGAATACTGGTGTTGAAGGCAATGTTCTCACCTGTTCAGCGCCAACCTCGGAAACAGGCCGGCATTGGACAATGTTGCTAATGTAGGCGGTAACGAGGTGGTCAACCAGGTTGTCGCAGAACGCTCTCGCGTACTGCCCCTTCTCCACGATGGCCAGGATCTCCTCGGTCTTTCCGTTCACTGATGACAGTAGCTCACCAACATATGAGCTTTGATCGCCCACACTCTCCATAGTGCTCCAGTTGGTGTTTCTCATCTCCCGCCAGGCGCCTTCGCAGGCGATCTCAACGTTGCGGACAAGCGTCAAGACAGCAGCACTGGCGACGCCAAGGAAGGCGTCGGCCTGGGACGAGAAATCGACCTTGTCAGCTAAGTTGTTGTCGATGCGCTTTTTGATGCTCTCCTCCAACTGTGTTGTGTTTGTGGACCAAAAGTCGGCTGTGTTTAGAACCAGAATGACGTCTTGGATTGGTGGCCCCTGGGGACCTGCCCTTTGCAGAATGTGCAGGAGAACTTGCTGTGCATACTCGTCCAGGTATTTCGCCAGAGTCTTGGCCAAGTCAAGCAACCTGTCGCTCGTTGAAAGCTTAGCGCATTGAGACAGGGTTAGCCTGTAGAAGTGGAAGAGCTCAATCGCAGACGCCATGACAGCTTGCCGAGAAAACTCTTCGTCTTCGGGAATAAGGGGTACAGTGCGGTATTTTGGTATCATGACGGCAAGTTGCTTGTCTTGAGATTCGACCCACAAGCTCAAGTAGGGCTCGAAGGCAGCAGAGATGGAGCCATGGAAGTTCGACGCCCTGTCATCAGCCGAGCTGAGCGTATCGATACTGGCTCTTGGATCCCCAGCAAAGCGCTTCTCCAACCCCTGTTCAAAGTCTAGTGTCTCTTGGAGGCAGCTGAGCAGCAGGTTGACGTCAATCTTCTGGCCATCTGTCCTCCGCATGCTCCTCTCGAGGATCCCCTTGAAGTCGTCTCTCGTTCCGTCGCAGAAGGCCATGGCGAGCATCTCATTTGCGCGCCAGTGGGGCGGGAATATCACAGCGTGCTCCTCTTCGTGCGTCTTCAGCATGCGCTTGAACCACGCATATCGCCGACCGATGTTGTCGAGGTTCCCGGCTTCGTCGTTGCCCCTGAACACCTGGCGGTACTCACGCAGCTCCGTGTTGACGTACCAGTTCATCAACCGCGACCGCGCCATGTCACCCAAGGCATCCATCACCAAGCAAGCCTCGACCAGGGTGCCCCTCCGCTGAGCGACCTCCCCCTTGGCGAATGCGATCTCAAAGTCCTCGCAGACCTGTTCCAGCAGCTCCCGCTGCAGTTCCGAGACGCCTCTGCTGAGGGTGGCAATCTGCTCGATACTCCTGTAGCTGTTGAAGTGCTTCATAAGCTGCAGCACAGCCTGCAGGAGACTCGCGCATTCCCTGTATTGTCTCGTCTTGGCCAGGCCGCGGAGTTGCTCGTATGCGGTCGTCAGCATCTGAAGCCGTTTCAGAGCCGTCATGCTCAGGGTCAGATTCCGCTTCGTGCCGTCGAGTCGCTTAATGTCGGCCGTCATGGAGGTGATATTCTGCTCGGTCTGGATGGCGCGCGACCGCACCGTCTCGATCTTGCGGAAGAGCTGGGCTAGCTCGGCCTGGGCGGACTGCATGCGCTCAAGGCTGGAGTCGGGCCCGTAGGCCTGGGCGACCTCGAGCTCGGAGATTTCGATGGCAAGATCATTCTTGTGGACCTGCAGCGTATCCGAGACGCGGCCGATGGTGGTGACTGTCGAGGGGTGCGCGAAGAGGTGGTTCAGGTGGTCGATGGGGTCGTAGTCGGCTGCCTTGAGGGTGAGATTGCAGTCTGGCAGGGGCCGTCAATTGGGGAGTTTACCTGCATCGAGCGATGTTTTGTCGGCGATTGAAGTCCCGTTCATGGTGGCGGAGACAATGAGCACAGTCGGCGGGTTTGCACGGCGTTCTTGCGCTCAGAGGGTTGCGGATCATTGCAGCTGACGGAATCCCTGAAGCCAGGTTGGAAGGAGCTCCGTGTCTCGATGTCGTCACGTGTCAAGACGGGATGCAGGGATTCTGCGACAGGACCCGCCTGGCCAATCGGCAGCCATGCCGGACGCCCTACGAGCTTCTCGAAGCCGGCTCCGGTGCTTCTTTTTTCGGATCGTCCCACCTCGAAAGTCTGGGGAAGATTGGATTCATCGAAACAACCTTAGGACGACGTCTTGCAAACAATTCTCCATCATGCATGCGCATCGTCGTTGGAATGATGCGAGATTGCGCTGTGGTCGCAGCTCAGGGGTCATTGGCGCTTTCAGTCCATGGCAGGTCAATCACGCTCACATGGATTCAGTTCTTCTTTGCAGGGCATGATCCTAGGCGACACGGTCCTTTGTTAGAGACGGCCGAATACCTACAGAGAGGCACGACATTCGCGTTCGCACTCCACAACAATCCAATTAGGACCGTCAGGTTGACCACCACTAAACGACCCCTCAACATGGTGGTCGTCACATCTCAGTATTCTTACCCAGTGAATTGAGAAATGACCTTGCCCGAAGCGCGACACATCGGGTACATGATCCAATCAATCGCAACCAGCGACTTCTTCGTGTAACATCGCGCTTACGAGTCTCGATTGAAGTATCAAAAGTGATGAGGTTCTTTGGCGCCTTCTTCCGTTTAGCTGTGGTACCAGTCGGGAAGGGTGCTACGATGTAGTCTCTTTGCAAACAGGTACGAGAACCCCAAGAAGGCAGGTGACAACCCTGTAGGCGTCAGCGAAATGGCAAGAGCATCATCGGCATGCCGTCACTGCCAACAGCAATGACAGCCAAAATATATCGACTTTGCCACTTTACCCTCAAACTACCTACAACGCGAACCCCCAACTTCGCCTTGCCAAGCAGCTGACACCAGAACCATTGAACTAAAGCCAGACTATTTATCCTCCACTATAGCACGATAGTACCTCATTCGCCAGCATACGAACCAGCCTGCCTCGTGCAAACTAACGACTAACGCATTACAGCGCGACGACACCACATAGCACGAATCGCAACACCTTTCCCTCCCACCTTCAGCTTACTCAGTAATCGATTCCATCAGATAAGCTAACCTTCCATCAGTTCTCGTCTCGCCTGGATATCCCGACCTTTCGAGCACCATCCAAAACACCGGACCAGCGCATAACGCTCGATAGTTTGCAGGCGTGCCGTGGCAGCTGGGCACGAACCAACCAAATCCTTCATCATCGGACGGCAGATGGACACCATCACGCTGTACCCGACCCTGCCACCAGTTGACTCGGACCACTGCCGATGCCCAGAACACGAACGACAAGCCATCTAGGTCCACGACTCGTCAGCCGGTCGACCGCATCGCATCATTCTCACCCGATGATTTCGGCCCAGACCCATCCATCTATCTACTCAAGGTGCCTTCTGACCGTCTCTTCACGACTCGTCACAAAATAATTGCCGCCAAGTCTTTCATCCTCATGTTGCAAACATCAGTCTCTCCCAGCCGGTGCCCGTCATCGCCCCGATCCGACCCTCCGATCACCAGCTTCCCGCGGAGAACGTAAGAACACAGTCAGCACCGCGGTCCCAAGTCCTGTCAATCCTCACATGTGTGCTTACAGCACATGCGCCCTCAGTCCCCGCCACCCGCCTTGATTCTTCAACAGACAAACCCACCCACCAACAACACCAACCCCTGCCCCCTGTAGCATACCCTGTCTAATACCTTCCTTCACGTATCGACCACCAACAAGCACCTGCCTAACGATTTAACCCATCTTACGTACACCAAATCAACATCCAAATAAGCATTCTTCAACAAGCACCAATGACATAATTTTACCCCTCCGTGGCATCGCATCGTATCCGTACCCCCCTCCAAAATCCGATAGCCGAGTCATGTCACCTCTCCACCTCCACTCGAGCAGCCCGCACATCGGCATCCCCACCCCGAGCACGACAACATCGGCCGCCGGCCGACCACCGCTCCCAACACACCGCATTCTTCACCTCCCCTCCTCCGACAAACCCCCAAAATCCGAGCGACGCCGTCGCAATCGCGAACAAACGCATCGCTGCCAGAAACGGCCCAAGCGGCCCGCCCGCCACGTGGGAGCACGCCCGACGCGCAACCCGAGTCATTGTCTGCCCTCCGGGCCCCCGTGCTAAACGGCGTAGGCCGCCCAAACCGCGGCCCTAGCGCCGCTCGATGGCCTGGGAGGAGCAAAAGACGACCGCCTCAAAAAAAAAAAAAAAGCACGGCGTCGTCTCCTCCAGTGCGGGTTCTATATTGGGGCCTCAAACCCGCTCCGTCCCCTGATCCTCCCGCAGGACCGGGCGAAATGTGAGGCGGAAGAAGGCACTAACATGGAAGACTAGCCGGCCTCATTACTTGCTTTTGCTTTCGCAATCCAGTCTAAGAAGCGGATGCCAAACACACTGACAAGGGAAAGGCCCAGGCATCGTCATCGTCGTCGTCGTACCCGCATGAGTCTAGAATGCTCTCCAGAGACCCGGACCGAAGGTCCTTCACCGCAACCCCCCGGATCATCTCACCTCATCTCACCTCAGGTAATGTAATCAACTCACCCATCATTCACCGACAGCCAACCTTTTCCAGACTATCGCTCCCGTGACATGCTCCCACGTGCGCCGCACACCATCATCATCCTCTAGCCTGAGGTGACAACCCATTCAATACGCCCTCGAAAGAGCTAACACCACCACCACCATCACACCCACTCAAAATGACAAAGTGAACCACAACCCCCATTCCATCCGCAAACACATTGAATCGCATGGACACAATCAACAATAATACCCCAAAATGTAACCCCAGCAAGCGGAACAAACCTCACACCCCCATCCTCGACCCCCAGCCCAATCAGTCCCCCCATCCCCGATCGACATGCAATACATCCAACACCCATTCCAAAATCCCGACTGGACTGAATCACACCAAGCCGGAACAACACACACACACACACACACACCACACCCCAGGGAAAGATCAACCTGGCGTGCGCATCGGCATACCTTGTTCAGCTGTCCATCGCCCATCGCCGTTTTTACCGCCCCCAAAGAAACACAATGCAAGGCCCCGACTCCAGTGTAAACCCATCCGCCTGCCTGCCTAACCAGATCCCACACCAGGAAAAAAACAAGGAATCACCTCCCCTAAAATCCCCAACTGCAGGGCCGATCTACACCCAACCCACCACACCACACCACCGCACACTCGTGACAGGGCAAAAACAACCGCATTGTCCCCCAAACAGACATTTACAATCCCATGCCAAACAGTGTCTTCTTCTCTTCCAAAAAAAGATACATGCACAATCGCAATACCAAATTAGTCTCCCTCGCACCCACCTATCTTCCATCCCATTGGTCGCCCAGCCAAAGCACAAGAGCGAAATCAAGGTCGGCCTGCAGTGCAGTACCAACCACCCGACCCCGATTCCAAATGATCATCATCATCAGCAACCACCACCACCACCCCTCAAATTGTATATCTATGTAAATCACCCACCAAATCGAACCGCTCCCGTATCCCGGAGCTTACTCCGAGCCTGCCCCCCACCGCCGTACCACCCAGGCCTCCTCCCCTACAACTCTCTCTGTGCTCCTGTCCAGCCTGCCCCTCCTCTGGACTACCTACCTACCTACTGCCCCGCGGGATCTGCGTGGGTTACCTCACTTTACCCAGCAGCACAGCACCACACACCACTGTGACACTGGACATGCCACAATAGAACCCCACACCCAACTGTGCTGCAGTGCAGTGCTGTGTGTCCCGCCCCAATCACCCACCACACAAAAAAAAATGAAATCTCACGATGGGGGGACCGCAGAGACAGGCAGTCAAATTGTGAAACCCAAGATAGGATGTTCAACGAGAAACCGCCTCTCTTTTTCGAGGGAATATATTGAGAAAAAGGGCGGTCTACAAAGCGCCCAACGGAACAAAAAATCCAAAATAACGCCCCTCACCCCGCCGCAGCCAATCCCCCGCTCCCTCCCGTTTTATATTGTGAGTCATGATCAAAGACAATTGTTTCCCCGAGCTTTCGACCAATTTGAAATACACAGACACACACATACACAGAGAGACAGACAGCAGTCAGTCAGTCAGTCAGTCCAATGATGCCATGCCCAAAACAATGTTTCCGCTACACCGCCCCTTGTTCCAATCTTCGTGCGTCCATGCGGGATATCATCAGCCGTCCGAGATTCTTTTTTTGGTATCCTCCTCCTCTTCCTTTCGGTCCCCCTCCCCGTCCCCGCCTCCGCACCCTCGTAAAAGAGAAAAAAGAAAGCATCATTCGTGCCACCCGGGGAAAATGCTGGGGATTCCAGAAAAACAAAACATGAAATAGAGTAATGACGACCGTGATTGGAGAAAAATGGAAACGTCAAAAGATGCAGAAGAAGAAAGAAAAAAAAAAAAGCCCCCAAATTCGGACAGTGAACGCCAAATCGCCTTGCCCAGATGCTGCTGCTGGTCCCCTTCATACGCCATGCAAATGCAGATTTCGTCGTCCGTAGAAGCTTCGGCCCGCCAGGCCGATGATTGCCGATGCGCATGTCTTGTCGGCAGAACTGTTGCTGTTGCTGGAGAGATGCAGATGAAATACAGAGCGGGAAAAAAAAAGACCGTCGTTCGTGGGCGTCATATCCAGGGTAGGATCGCCACTCTCAGATGATAACGTCTCCCCGATCAGGAGCTGTGCAGAGCCCTGAAACCAGTCGCGATGAGACTGCGGGAGCTGTCCTTGGCATCTAATGGTCCGCTCCAGTAAAAGAGCCCCTGTCGAATGCTGTCAGCGACTTTGTAACCTTTATTGCAGTTTACGGTCAGGCACATTACCCCCAAGCTCTTTGATTTGCAGAAAGACGCCTTCATTTTTACCGTGTCGGGGTTGTCGTACGTCACGAAACCGCCGTCGGCCCCCACGCATTGAGCTGCAATGTGCTTCTTGTCCAACACCTCCTTCGTCCCGCGGCGCGGCAGCTGGTTGTAGTCGAACGTGCCGTTATCCCCGCCAACCCCCTTGAACTTCTGTCCCGGTCCGGCGGCGTGCAGAAAGCTGCGTCCGTAGAGAGGGATGCCGAGGAGGATCTTCTGCGAGGGAAACCCCTGAGAGACGAGATACTGCACCGCCGAGGCTCCCGAGCTCTCATCCTTGCTCAGTGCGTAGAGTTGAGCGTGGTGGCCACTCCGATGTGTCCACGAGCCTGAAAAGTCGTAAGCCATCAGGTTGATGAAGTCGAGGTAGTCGGCCGTCCGTCGCAAGTCGATGTACTGAAGAACCGCCCTCCCTGCTGGCAAAGCGGCGGTGAGGAGGTAGTGGCTTTCCGGCATATGAAGGCGAACGGCTGCTATCAAGGCGAGAAAGTGGTGACCTTGTTGGGGATCGCAAGGATACTCCCAGACGACTGGCGAGGAGTGGTGAGCTTCGGCTCCCATGCTGCAGAAATAGGCAGAACTTACTATCGATGCCGTCCAAGCCAGATGCGTCCACCAAACCTCTCGCAGACCGAGCAAAGTTGTCTCTGTACAACGTATTCGCGGCGACCGAGGGGAAGACTGCTGCTGAACTACCGCCGCCGATGGATAAGACAACCTGCAAGTGCGGATGCTTCTGCTTTAGGTGCATTAGAGATCCTAGACCGCCTTGCACGCCATCGACTGGTGCGCGGGCATCGGCCCACTCGTCGCTGAGCTACAGTCCGCTGGTCAGCCCGGTCGTGATGCGAGCTGAATTTTGAGAGACTCACAAAGACACCGCCGTCCGCCGACACGTTTGCAAAGGCGTAATACACGTGGTTGATACACCCGTAGTTCATCGCGCCAGGCGTATCCCCTTGGTAGATCCGTTCGTTGGGAAAGTAGACGGCGTTGGTGTACATGACGTTCGAGATGCTAGTCGTTCTGCGCGACTTGCGCGACGACGATGAGGAACTCATTCTGATTCTTGTTGCCATGAAGTGGCGCGTGATGGCGTACAATCTGAAAAGTTGGAACAGAAGAGAAGCAACTCAGAGAGTTAGTGCGAGAAGGGGATGGTGGTAAGGACAGTATATGAAGGAAAGGACTTGGACCCAAAGCTGCATGCTGGAGCAATGAGCTGGTCGGTCAGGCAGCAAGCGCGAATCTCTGTGGCCCCAAACAGCATCGAGGTTGTCCTATATATTTGGCTAGACACCACAGTGCAGCAGAGACAAGAAGATGCGACGGTGAGCGAACGTGGGTAGGGTAGCATACACTTAAGGTCTTGTCCGAGGCGGTGGAGACGACGGGTATCAAAATTACAAGAGGGTCCAGGATACCATCGATGCCATGATGCATGACATAATTGGGCTGGGGGTGGAAGAAGCCTCATGGGGGGGTGCGCCTCCAGAAGATGCGGTTGCGCTGCGCTTGCAGGGGTGGAGTGATGGTATTGAGACTTTTGTCAAGTCATATATGAGAGATCTCGAAGAGAGGATAGAGAAGGATGTGCGGGAAAGGCGTAGGACGAGCAACGAGAGTGCCACTGTGCCTGTGCCACGGAGCTGGCGTGTACCAGACAGAGATTCGGAAACCGGGGAGACACAGACAGGCTACAAATAGAGCAGGATGGGCAAAATAATGGGAGAAGGGCCGCAACAAGATTACAAGGCCTCGTGGTCGGGCGTGGTCGTCCTTCTGGTGCCGTTATTTTGATTGCCTAGCTTGCCCATCCTGATTCTGCTGCCCGTGAGCTAGTTAGTTCGGCGCGAGTCTGTTCTCAGCTTCTCTGTCTGAATCCAACCGTCGGCGACGACCGCCGACCCTTGGCGGCAGTTGACGATCAGGGTTGCAGGGAACAGGAATGATCCCTGCACGCCGCACCGCTACTTTTGCTCCTCTTCCTTTTCTTTTGTTCGTCCACCTTTTTTCTGCATTTTCCGAATGATTTCTCCACGCCTGGCCGGCCGTGCATGCAGGTCTTCGCGACGAGGTAGGCAGGGAGCAGGCATTCATTCTCTGGCCAGTGTTCTTGTTTGTGTCGGTATGTGCTGGTGATGCTGCTTCAAGACGTGGACACTGTGATTGCCAGCCGCATCTCGTGTATGTTGTTCACCGACCAATGTAAATGAACCTGTTGGGTCTGCGGCTGCAAGAGACGAATTATCCTGGACGAAGCGCCGTGGTCTGTACTGCAACGGCACCCTTGGTACATACAGTGTCTGTTGTTCATTAGACGTCAGCCAGTCAAGTCCGGCGCAAAAGGGCCTGTTTGCTCCGTTGAAGGTCGTCCAATTGGCCTTGAACCAAGATAATTGACCAACTTCAGCACGCGTGCGTCAAAAGAGTCGGACCGGTCTCCCAGAAATTTGGCAGGAGCAGTTTTGCAGCGACCTGTCTCCTCGTGTTATGACGATCCGAGGATGAAAGGAGCAGGCGAATCATGTTCGAGGGATGCAGGCCTACAAGGCTCGGTATACATCAAACCAGCCACAATGCGACGGTGGGAAATGATGGTTCTCTGAAAGGTGCTTGTGGCTTTGGGCTCTTGACAAGCACGTCCGTCCCCTTCTCGACGGGGAAGTTGAATAGAAGATCCGCCGGGTGAGAATTCGCGGCCGCGGCGGTCTGACCTCCAGCAGTTGGTTTGAAGTCATCGCTAATGGTCGGCGCTAGGCGTCGTGGGAAAAGAAAGCGTACCTGGAGAATCCACGAGGTTCCTTCCAGGCTAAGATGGGACGACACACAACTGCCCGAGAAGCAGGAATTCTGCACTGCATTGCCAAACTCTAAAGCAACCTTCAGCTCTGCGCTGGCGAATGCGGGCTTGGTCTGGTATTCGAACGCTGTTGGTTGTGTTGTCGTTTGCATTCCCAACCTCGTGGGATCAGCTGTAGCTTGTCGGTTGAGCAAGCGGCTGTTGTACTTTGCAGCCAATTTGAGTTGAACGTTACAGACAGTGCTCATCACACTGACGTGAAAATTGTGGATCGATAGGCGAGTGACATGCACTGAGACCCTCATCCGTCCACCCTTTGAGCGGCACAGCAGTATCTGGTGCTTTGGAACGGGTAGATCCCAGCTGATGCGCTGGGAAACTGGGGGAAACTAGTGAATCACACACGGACACGCAAGGAGCATTGTCTTCAGGCGGTGAAGTCGAGCGCAGAACAAGCCGGGCTGGGCAAAATATGTCGAGCGAGTCCAAACAAGGTATCCGTACGTGGACGAGATATAGACGGCCGTCTCAGTCGTAGGGTTGACCAGTAGCATAGCCATGCGACTCAGTGGCAGGGAACTGTCCAGTGAGCAGACATGTAGCGGCAGCTTGGCTGCGCGGGGGCCCACCCAAACGATGGAAACAGCCGACTGACACAGAGGGTCGAGTGGAGGAGATGGTTGCAGGTGACTGCATGCCACGCTGGCAGCACATAGTTGTACATGAAGCGGCCCTGAGGTCTGGGAAATCCGACGATTTGGGAGCATGAGGTCATTGACCGAGGGCCGTCGAGTTGGGTATTGATGAATAGCTGTCGGTCTGCGTGGCGTGACGGTGAGTATGCATTGTGGTATTGTTGGCGCATTGTTCGTTGAGAAGCTGAGTTGTCCCGCGATATGTTGGGCCATCTCTTGTCTCTGGATACGTGGAGGCAGAGCGGGTGTTTTTTTTTCGCCTCGCCGTCTCGGTCGCATCGGCCCACGAGAAAGAGAGAAGATCCATGGGTGTCCCATACTGACTAAGGCAGGTCGATCAACGATGTCAAGCCGAGAGAGAATACTCGAGCGATGATGGGCTCTATGGCTCCGTGGTGTGTCCGTGGGCATCCATCCCATCCCGCGTGGGCACGCCGCACCCTGCCAATTCTGTAGGCTGTACGTACGAAGATATGCGGGCGTGCTCCGTATGTAAGTAACTTGCAGTAGTCGGTTCCGATGATTGGGCGCAGGCGATGGCTAAGTGAAAAAACCCCAGCAAAGTCTAGTCAGTCAGGGTCGATATGCATGGCATGGCATCCTCCTGACTTCTCTGGCTTCCGCATCGGAGCGAGTGTTGCGACGTTTTGGAGGGGGTCGCGATGCTTGAAAATAGAATTGACTTTTTCCTAGGTACAAGGCGACGGCAGTCTTTGGACTGCTTGGGAGGTCGAGAAACGTGGGAGAAACGCGCTAGAACAGCCACGTCGCGCGAAGAAGAGATGAAGGGACGGGCGTGCGATTGGCGGGAGAGCAATAGGCGTTGATGACTTGGGTCGGCAGCCGTTGGTCGGATTTGTGCCTTGATGAAGCAAACAAAGTCCGGTCGAGAAGTGCGGGGTCAGTCTCGTTGAGGAGAAAAAAAGTCGGACACGGTATGAAAGAAGAGACCCATCAACGGAGCGGAGACGTGGACGGCATCTGAGGGGAGGAGCAGCTGCGTGGTGGTGGGTTGAAGAAGCCGAAGACGGCCCCAGATGCAATGGAAGGGAAAAAGAAAAGAAGAAGAAGAAGTGGAAGTGCATGTCATTCTGCAGCCTTGGCGAGCTAGGTGCTGTAGTGTTCACTGTCAACGGAACTGAATGAACCCTGAGGTGGGAATGCCAAAAGAACGTGGGTCCTTTCCTGCCCAACTGAGCCATCTTCCATTTTCTGCAAGTCCCCTGCCACACTGAGGCAAGTGCGAGGGCTCCTTCTTTCCTCCAGTGTGCCCGCAAACCGAGGATGGAAGGAGTGGATGGGAATACCCTTTCTGTTAGAAGAAAGGCAAAAGGAATGGAAGGATTGAACACTGTGAAGGAGAAGCTTACCTACGTACCTTACTGATGGAAGGTAAGACGGTCTTATTGAGAACGCAACTGCCTTGCCTAAGTTACCTTACTTTTGGGGAAGTGGTTGTGAAACCGTGCCTTCCAAGTCAAATGATTTAGATTCAGTGGAGGTAATTACCTACTAAGGTAAGTCAAGGTAGGTAATGATTGAAGATGCCTTCCCCAAGGCAGGCAACGCGCCAAATCTCTTTCCATAGTAGCGAGACCGCAGTGAATTACCTATTGTACCTAGGCACCTGTGTTCGGGCTGTGCACGTTACGGTCCGTCCTCACAGACATCCATCCCACTTTCCCTGCCCGTGGTTCCTCGCCGTCCATGGCCCCTCCCCGTCACCCACGTACCTACCTACGGCCCGGCCGAAGAACGGGAGGGGTCATTCAGGGACTTCCCGCGGCCAACCCCTCCGACCCGTCGTGGGATGCTGCCTTGGCGAGGATCGGCCCTGTCAAGTTTTCTCCCTCCCAGCATTGGACCCGTGTGCACATATGCAGCGGCAAACACAACATCACACGCTCATCCTGGGCGCATGTTGGATCATGATGGGTGTGCCCCAGCTTCAGAGATACAAAAATGACCTTTTTCAAGACATGGCATCAACCATTGGCGCTCTCCGCGCGGAGAAGCAAAAAGCAGCCCTGATCTACAGGAACCAAGCCTCCCTTTGTCGTGATACAGCCTCCCAGCCTCCTCCTCTACTGCTCGGTGCTTATTCTCGCCAAACGTTACCAGCAGGCTGCAATCTACCATACTCGACAAGACGCTCCTCCAACATCGCTTGACCTGCCAAAGCGGAGTATAATCCCTGTCTACACTTGATTCACCAACCAATCTCTGATCTCGCTTGATCCTGTCGTTGGCCAGCAACCAATTGTGTCGACCAGCATGTTGGAGCATTGCCTGATGTTGGTTCTTGTTCCGAGACTCCTTGTCGTTATATGGGCCCGTCGGTTTGGTCGCAAACATGACAGGACAGGACAGCAAGACCATCGAACTGGCTTGATTCCCCACGATGTTTTCCCCCCTTCCCCTCTCAACATCTCTCCTCACCTCTGGCGAGACAAAATTCAAACTTTGACTGCTCTTTCAACCAAGTCCAAGATCTACCCCGAGTGATCCCACAATAGTTCCACTCCGTGCCGTGTCGCACCCGTCGAAGAATCTCGCAACAGGCTAGTTTCCCCTCATTGGCTGCAGTTGCAAACTAACTAATCCCCCGTCGAACAGGGATACCCTCGCTTGGGCCCGGACACAAACCTTCGAGAACAAACCGTGGACCTTGAAAGCGCTCGCAGACATGTCTACTGCTGACGTCCAGGCTCCTCAGCATCCCGCCGGCGCTATCGAAGCCGCAGATGAGCCCGTCGACCCGAGTGAATTTGATCCTGTTGAGTGGGACCGGTCTTCCGCTGATTCGGCCTCACTCACCTCAAGTGTCCTCGATCACGAGTACGAGAATGGGCGTCGTTTTCACAGATTTCGACACGGTCGCTACCCGATGCCCAATGATGAGACGGAGCAGGATCGCGAGGACATGAAACATACAATGTTTCTCGAGCTTCTTGTGAGTAACGTCATAAGCATATACTTGGCTGCGTTTGCACATCTAGAGCTGATGTTCCCCAATTCAGGATGGCGATCTGTTTCTCGCTCCTATTGGAGATGACCCTCAAAAGATTATAGACATTGGTACCGGAACCGGTGAGTCTATCCGTTTGAATAGAAATCAGCTGCTCCTCGGCCTCTGACAATAACGAACTAGGCAAGTGGGCAATTGAAGGTATTTCCTGGCGACTCGATCGACGAGGTCCATACACTAATCCATCCGTGCCAGTCGGCGACCTCTATCCAGGTGCATCTGTTCTGGGCATTGATCTATCTCCCATTCAACCTTCCTGGGCCCCTCCAAATGTCAAATTCTTAGTCGACGATGCCGAGGATGAATGGCTTAACGGGGACGACTACGACTTTGTTCATTTTCGAGCGATGGCTCCCCTTCTTCGGAAGCTTGATATGGTCCTCGCAGATGCTTACAAGTAAGACTGTAAAAGCAGAAAAACTACCAACGTTGCTGACCAATGTTGAAGTCATATGAAACCTGGAGCTTGGATAGAGTTCCAGGAGTTGCACGGCCAGATCCATTGCGACGACGGAACTATGGCCGATGACGATAAGCTCAAGGAGTTCTACGAGCTTGTCGTTGAGGCTTTCCAGAATCTTGGTCTTGATTTGCACAAAGCGCGGGACTTGAGGCCTCACCTTGAGGCTGCTGGTTTCAAAGACATTCATTGTGAAATCAAAAAGATCCCAATCGGCATTTGGCCAAAGGATCCGACCCAGCGAGTGATTGGCAAGTACTCGAGGCAGGCCATCGAAATGGCAGCACCGGCGTTCACTGGTAAGCCATTCGAAGCCATGGGAATCTCAAAGGTAGAGTCTCAAGTGTGGTGCGCAACCGTCAAGAAGGACATGGAGGACCTCAGCAAGCATCGTTACTACAACATGTTCTTCTGGTATGCTCAGAAGCCTAAGGATGCCCCCGTGCGGGACGACGGAGCCGGCTCATCAGGAGAGGATGACGCTTGATTGCCCAGTTCTAAACACATCATGTTCTAAAAACGGCTGCGACAAGCCGACGGATGAGGTCAATATACAAAACTTGAGGTCGAAGTGATTCCCGAACAGTATGGCGGTGGGGCCGTGGTGAATCGCTCAACTACGAGGGCGACCAGTTTGAGGATTCATACTATTCATACTAGGCCAAATGAAAATGTCATTCCACGTTGGAAGTATTACATCTTGCATGTTGAATGTGCAGGGCGAAGCGTCCTAATTCTGAACATGTCTACTTGACTATCTTGGTGAGAGCGTGGCAAGTGGTGTCTGAACCTCTATAGTGAGACTCCCAAGCAGGCCCCACAAGAGCTCCGGAGTGATAGTGAAGTGATTGCTGACTAATTTTATGGGGTAAGCTTCTCGGAGTCAATGCGCAAGCGCGCATCGCAAGCTGCATTTTCCTACATCGTCAACCAAGCAACTCAAACCACAGGCAAGGCGTACCAGATCACCCAACTACAATTACCCACTTGTATCACTGTGGATTTCACGCAATTTTACTCCCTTGAACTCGAACTTCCACCCTCAGCAAACCACCACGCGACATCAACAAACCAAACCGATCGCAGCTCCCATATCAAGAACCAGCGACAACCTCACCTGCGTCACCCAACAGCTCCGCGAAGCTCCCTCCGCCTCTTCAGCAATGGCAGCTGTAGCCCGCCCGGAGGCAACCCAGATCCTCACCCACGCCCCGCAAGCGATAACCTTTTCCTTCACCCCCTTCCTCCGCCAGACCTACCGCCACGAGCTCTCCTCCGACCGCCCGCAATGCAAGCCCTTCCTCGCGGGCCACTGCCCCCTCGGCGCCTCCTGCCCAGACCGCCACGCCTCCTCGCCATCCTCCTCCAACAATAACTCCGGCGGCGGCGGCGGCGGGCCCTCGCTGGTCTGCAAGCACTGGCTGCGCGGCCTCTGCAAGAAGGGCGAGAGCTGCGAGTTCCTCCACGAGTACAACCTGCGCAAGATGCCCGAGTGCAACTTCTTCATGCGCAACGGCTACTGCTCCAACGGCGAGGAGTGCCTGTACCTGCACATCGACCCACAGTCGAAGCTGCCGCCGTGCCCGCACTACGACAAGGGCTTCTGCCCGCTGGGCCCGCGCTGCAGCAAGAAACACGTCCGCCGGAAGCTGTGCGTCTACTACCTCGTCGGCTTCTGCCCCGAGGGCCCCGGGTGCAAGTTCGGCGCGCACCCGCGCTGGAGGACGGACCTGGAGAAGCCGAGCGTCAAGGTCGAGGGCGAGGACGAGAAGAAGGACGGCGAGCGCGAGGACGGCGAGGCGGTGCCGGTGCAGAGGGAGCAGCGCATGCGGGACATGCACGAGGACCGCGGCCACGGGGACCGGAGGCACGGCCGCGGAGGAGGCAAGTGGCGCGATCGCGGGAACAGGAGGTTCCGAGGACGTGGTGGTCACTGAGAGGAGCGGCGCTTGGTTTGATGATAGGAGAAGGATGTGGGAGAGGGTGTGTACTATAGAGCATTTTTACGGCTTTCCTGCGTGGTCCGGTTTGCGACTGCGCTTGGCTCAATGATACCAAAAGTTTATGAATCATGGAGTTCTTTTACAAAATTGATGGGCCTGGAAACGAAGGGTTGCAATTGCAATAGTTTTAAACAGACTAAACCGCGGATTCAGAAGAGCGCAATGGGCGGCGCAACTGTGCACGAAATACCTTGTTGCAACAGGTATTTAAAAGTCTCCCAACACCCTACCCTGACTTATCCCAACCTCTGCAAACGCGTCAAATAAATCTTCCATAAATAAATGTTCCCGGTCATTCCGCCCCTAAATGGACGCAAAAATCAAAAGGAAACGAGTATGACAGGACTCGAACCTGCAACCACGGCCAACTTGGCAATGAGTACCGGAAGACCGCACGCTAGCCATTGCGCCACATACCCAGCTGATGACTATTCAGCTGAAAGATCTGCCTAAGTTGTGTGGACCTTTGGTGGGGCTGCTGCGTCGCCGCAGCAGAACATGCGACGAACCCCAGATTTGTAAATGGGCGCATGCTATTAATACCCTGGATCAATGCATGGCAGGTTCACCGAAAAAACTCGCTTTTACGCTTACGCTGCTGATGCTTTCCGATTAAGTGACGTTCGAGTTCAGCCAGCTGATCGGTCTTGGGCATTGTCTGGCTCTCAGTCAGACCGCCGCCTGATCAATAATGATGAGGAGCGTCTTGCGTTACTCGAAACGACAAGATTATCTCCAAAACTTCACGTCTTCATAATTTCATCTTGAACATAGCATAGACTTCTGCAGCCTCCAGCAGAGACAACTTGGCGGCTGAGAGACCTCCCCTCTGGGTAAAGTACGACATCATGTTCTCGAATGGGGCCGAGATGTGGAAAACGTTAGTTAGGGAAAACCAAGAAGGCTTCTTGGCTCCATGTTCAAAGATATTAGTGTTGCTACGAGGTACATAGATGCCGTTTCTACGCCGCAATCGATGTCAACTCTCAGAGCCCAATCTGGTGTTGTCTGCTACGACTACTCGGAGAGGTTTGAACCAGTTCTCGGATTTGACAGCCTCACGCTACGCTAATCATAAGAGGAAAACAGTAAAGCCGGTTACATGTATGTTAGGCTCAGCCACAATCTAGCCGACATGAAGCACCGGTTGAGCTCTGGTCCGGACAGTGCTTACGGGCTGGTACCTGACGCAGTACGTAACAGGAGCGAAGAGCCGCGCGAGAAATGAACACGAGAGGCCGTAGGGCTGGCCCCATGAGGGTGATAACAGAAGTATTGCAGATTAAACTTCGCTCGACGCGTGGACACGGCGCCCTAACGCTCTCAGCTCAGCCGACGGGATGGCTGCGTCGTGTGTGTTAGGAGGGGAACAAATCAATTGACAAAGTCGGAGCTGAGACAGAAGCTAGGCGATTGACCTCGAAAGTAAAGCGAACTGCCTCATTTGGTCAATTTCATGGTTGTTGACCATGAAGCATAGTCGTCACCCAGAAACGGCATGTTTGCGTCAAACTTCAGCTCGTAATCACCCAGCGGCCACTCTTCATGTCTATCTCTCGCCGTTCTCCGTCTACATCGCAGCTCGAACTCCATTGACGGGGTGGCTCTTTTCCGGCCACATCGCTTAGATAGACACCCTGCTTGCTTCCAAAGATGTCTCTCAATCTATTGGAGGCGGGATTAAACCGATTGATTCGTCGAGTGTGAGGTCGAGCCAGCCGAGGATTCTGCAAAGTACCTGGCTCGGTGAGGTGTAGATTAGACTTCTGGGGTGGCTTCGTTCCCTGAAAGCCAGAAAATGTGCACAAAATTGAACCTCAAAGAGATCTGGGAAATTGTCTGAATCTATGATGCTGCCATTGTGCTATCCACGGGGCTGCGGCTATAGCCCATAATGCTCCAACGTTCTATCAAGCCCAGGTCAATGTCCATTCGGAATTCCATGCCCCCTTCGAAGTCAAAGACTGCAATCCATGAATCTTGAGAGCACGAGAAGCCGTGTCCAACGACCAGTTCTCACTTGCAAGAACCTGATCATTCAGAGTCACGGCCGAAACGTCCCGCTTGACTCCCATGATTGTGACGTTGCCGAGAGAGTTGGCGTCCTTGTACTCTCCGGAGGGACTGGCCTTGAGAACACCGTCCAAGGCGGTGAGCTATACGTCTGTTAGCTTCCAATTTCACCAAAATGAGCTCAAGAATATACCTCTACAGTCAGAGTAGCCTCCTGCTCCAAGCTTTCGCCATCGTCCACGTAAAGATTACCCTGACCGCCTCCCTCGCTGTCAAGCGCAACCAAGAGCCCCCACGGGTTGGCCCTGCTCTCTGTCGTCGTCTTGCCAGGCTCTTGAGTGGGAATGACGTATCCGCCGCGGAGGTACACAGGAATATGCCCAAGGGGCGCGTCGATGGTGACGTTTTGCCCAGAAGTAACTCCAGTGATGGCGGATTGGTTGTACCAGTCATACCACACGGTGCCCTTGCCAACACCGGGGAAGACGCCATCAACCGCGGTCGCCCCCTGCACAAGACAGGGCGTAACAAGCACAGCCGGCCCAAGCAGGAACTGCCTATCCGCATCCGCCAGCCACGGCTCATCCGCAAACTCCCACACAAGCGCCTTCATCACCGTATCACCGAGGGTATGTGCCCTGTAAAAGGCAGTGTACATGTACGGCAGCAGCGCATAGCGGATGGCCATGGCCTTCTTGGACGCGTCCGCCACGGCGCTCCAGCGATACGGCTCCTGCGGGATGCCCGCGATGGCATTATGATTCCTGTAAAACGGGAAGAACGCGCTCAGCTGCATCCAGCGCGCGCACAGCTCCATGTCGGCGTTGCCCGCGAAGCCGCACGTGTCGACGCCGAACATGGGAAAGCCGAAGATGCTGAAGCTCAGCGCCTGCGGGATCGAGAAGAACATGTACGCCCAGAGCGAGTAATTGTCGCCGCCCCAGTGCCCGGCCCACTTGCCCGACCCGGCAAAGGTCGAGCGGCCGATGATGAAGGGGCGCTTGCCCGGGAAGACGGAGAGTAGGGCGTGGTAGGTGGCGTTGAGGATCTGGTGGCCGAAGAGGTTGTGGAAGTCGTACTCTTCGGAGCCGCCGTGGTGCGTTGCATTGGGGGAGACGGCGTGCACGGCGAGGTCGCCGTGGATGTGGTCGATCACGTACGGCGGGTGGTTGACGTTGCGGACACCGGGAGTGGGAGTGGTCCGAAGGTAAGAGGTCGTCGTGGAGGTTGGGTCCGCGTCGTTGATGGCGGTGGATTTGGCAGCCTCGGCTGAAGCTGAGAGTGCAGAGATGGACGCAGCTTCAGTGGCGTTGGTCTTCTCGAAGCCTTCGGGGTAGGAGTAGTCTTCGTTGCCGGGTTCTCCTGGAAGCTGGAACGGGACATGGGCAGGGTTCTGGGTGAGGTTCTTGCTTCCGCAGCTGCCCACGCAGAACGAAGCTACTTCGGACATGTCAATCCAGATGCCATCGAAGGCAACCTTCTTGAACCAGGTCTCGAGCTCCGTCTTCCACCAAGGAAACGTCTTGCTCTTACCGAGCACGGCACCAACCCAGTCAGGGAAGACCGTGTAGCCAGGCCACACAGCTCCGACATAGAGTGAGCCGTCTGGGTTGAGGACAAAGGCGTCTGAGGAAAGGCCGCGGTCATAGGTTGGGTAGGCGTCATCTTCCTTCTCGGGGTTTGGCGAGTAAATTGCTGAGTCGACAATCGGCACGAAGTGCTGTCCGTTCTTGTGGAGTTTGTCGAGAAACTTCTCGCCGTCTTCGTAGGTCCAATTGTTCTTGTCGTTTTCGAAATCACGGTACTGATTCATGTAATCGATATCGGCTGATGGTAGGTTAGCACACGGCTCTGTTACACCTTCGCGACGCAATGCTCACCCCAGATCGTCTCAAGTGGGATCTCAAACTTTTGAAAGTCGTCGATGACCTCCTGCAGATTGTCCCAACTGGTGTAGCCCCATCTGCATTGATGAAAGCCCAGTGTCCAGTATTGCTGCATGGCAGGGAGTCCAACGGCGCTCTTTTGGTAAGAGGTAATAACGGAGTCTGCCGTAGGACCAGCGTAGAAGTAGAGGTCAATCATTCCACCAAGCGCTCTCCAGGTAATGTTGGACTCTCGAAGCAGGATTTCTTGGCCATGTGCGTTTCTCATAAAGACGCCATGGGTAAACGACTTGTAACTAGCAGTCTTGTCTGTGGGCTCGGCAACGTAGATGAGCTCATCAGAATCAGAGTCGGCTTTGTAGTATCGGGTGTCTAGGTATATGGGGTGTGACCCGTAAATGTTTCCATCGATGGGATCGCCAATATCAGCGGCATAGATAGTTCCTATTATGGTGAGCTAAACAAGTTCAAGATCCGGGCAGTCATCTTACTAGTCAAGTTCCTGTTCAATCGAAAGCCGTGGATGACCTCACCGAGCCCATAAAGATTGTGGTTCTTCGGAAGAGGTGAAGCAAACTCAAAGAACTGGTCTTCGAAGACCAGCTTGGTCCCCACGGTGGTAAAGAGGACATCTCCAGTGCTCTTTCTTGTCACATTAAAGCCAAAAGTCGGCGCGTTCGCCCACTTGAACTCCAGGTCGCTGTCCGAACCAGCCGATTGAGTCTTCCCGTCATTTTCAGGTTTCGGAATCAGTTCCTCAGGGAGGATGAACCACGTGTAGTTGTCCTTGCCGATATGTCTCGGTAGTATCTCGACATGAAGCCGGTCTGCCGCCTGGTACTCAACGACAAGCTTCAGAGCCTCAATCTCGTTGCCGTAGACGTTGCAAGCCTTGCCGGCGAGGTCGAGGTCTGCTGTGAACCCGTGAGAAGTCTCTTGAACATTGGATGCCGTGTAACCGGGGCAGACACTCTGGGGGTCCACCGCCTCTGGGTCGAAAATGTTGGGGATGAGATCAGCGCCGACGTCTGAGTCCATGGCCACTGTGAACTGGGCATCGTTGCTGCTGGTCGTGGTCGTTGCGGTATACGACGAAAGCTGGCGTCCAAACTGGTGCCCGACGTCTGCCACTCTGACGACCGCGCAGAGCCCGAGAACGGCCACGGCCGTGAGGATGATGGGTAGGCGGAGGAACATGCTACGCTTCTGCTCTTCCACTATCGTCGCGCCTTTCTCGTTCAATATCGGTCCCGTCTGTCGCGAGCTGATCATCCGGATGCACTGCGAAAGAACGACGAGCGCCGCGATCCACCATATCAACGATGCACAGAAGGCCGTCATCTCCTCCCCTCTTATACCCTTCCAATCGCCCCAATCGAGCCAGTCGTTCAATGCCATGTTGTCGTGGAGTCGTAGCAGCTGCAGAGGAGAGTGGTGATGACCAACGGGAAACTGTCAGTTGTCCTACGAGGAGAAAAGATCACATCACCGGCGTGGCATTGAGCGGCCTGACTGCGGTGTAGCTAGAGCTTTCCCCGCACAGACTAGAGAGGAGGTGGTTTGATGGTTTGAGGCGAGAGGAGCGTCCGGGGTTGGAGCTACAGCTTCTGGGGAAGCTCTGATTTACCGCGAGCTTTGTTCCGTGCAGCTGAAGCAAGGGAGCTAAGGGAGCTAAGAAGAATGCGGGCCGTGACGGCATGCGCAGGTGCAGCGTGTTGGGTGTTGGGGTACAGCTGCGTGCGGAGTCTTGCGGAGTTCGTGCAGTGGCCTGCGGCGCGGCTCCGATCCGTCCCATGGGGTTTGTCGATCACCGAAGAAACCCCCGACGATATGTAAGTGGTCTTGCTTATCCTGACTACATCTTTTGACCCGTGAAGTTCCCATTGGTCAATTCTAAAGAATCTTCGCTGAAACTGCGATGAGGGGTATCGTCAATATGCAAGAACCTTTCGACTACGAGGACACTTAGCCAGCATCATCTTGCCGATGCCCAATCCCATTCCTCGTCAGTAGCTTCCACCGCCGGTGCTGCTTCGGTATGTTGTGTACTTCTCCACATAGTAGGCATGATGATATCACGAGAGCCGGCGGGATAGACGACACCATGGGAGAAGGTGATAGTATAGTGAGCATTTGGCAAAAGTCACCAAGTCAGCGGAGGAAAGCCACCTTCTTGTAACACGGCACAATGGAGAGACAGGTCGAGGTCATTTGAAGATCGCGAAGATCCTCAGTGTATCACGATTCATCAGACTTCTGTTGAACGACATCTGATCCCCAAATACTCGCATAACCAGCATCAGGACTACATGTCCCATAAGCTACGAATCAACTGGGAAGCAAATTGAATAAGTCATCTTCATTGTGTCTTCTACAAGGATGGTCACTTGTCTCAGAAAGTCTGCAGACTCGTAGCCGTGGTGAAAGCAGCGCTGAACGATACCTTCTCGCCCTCATACTCTACATATATATCGGTTCATCCGCTTTTTGACCCTCAGTGACTCTGACTCGATGCCGTTTATTCGCCTTTTGTTCGGTCAAAGACTTTAGTATGAATCCCTTTTTGATGCTGGATGATTGGGATTAAACAGAAACCGGATACCCATCAAACCAGGGGCCCGTCATACTCACTACACACACTCTAATTCGTATATAGCAGCTGAGGGCCTCTATGGAGAATCATACTAAAGCACTTAATTCGCTGTCGGTATTAATGGTGAGAATGCGAGAACCTGAACATCGTAGGATAGCTTTCGATGGCTCCAACACGTAAATGACGGCGGTGGCGCGAGGATGAGAAGTATCAACACGGCGGCCTGAATGTTCTCTCATCTCTCGCTAACAGGTTTATTGAAATTGCGAACCAGATTTAACTAAATATTCGAATCGAATGTTGTAACAACAAATGAAAACCTCGTGTTGAGAAAGGGACACCTTCCGCTTGGTTTCCTCGAGTGGCAAAGCCACGACAAAACCAACCACCTCCTTGCGTAGAACACCATAGCACCGTCAGCAGCGGAAACGACACAATAACGCCTCTTCCAAAACCGTCGATTCTCAAAGAGGTTCATGTCTTGCGGTCCATATTCTCGCCAGAACCACTCTTGGCTTTCCCTAACCAATGTTCGCTTCGATGAACAAGCGTATCGCCCCCTTAAGCGAGGGGGGACCCGGATGACCCAGATGACGGTTTCCCGAGGCCACCGTTGCAGTTTGCGATGCCGACGCACGAGACCGGGTTGGAGAGGTTGACGTTGGCGGCCGGTGAGATGTTGATCAGGCCGCCGGCTGACGGGAAAGGCAGGCCCAGGGCCGTGGCTAGGAATGCGGAGATGGCGATGAGTTGGAAGTGCATTATTATTTTTTCGTGGCAAGGACTGAATGGAATCGGATCCGATTGAAAAATGAGTGTAGGGTTGAGGTAGAAAGGTTAGAAGACTTTGGACCCCGTTTGCGCGTTGTGCAGTCTTATATATCTATCCATTAGAACATGGAGTGACTCCCGGACTGGCAGGCTTCATTGAACAGGGCCGAGCAAATTACCGTTTTGAAATTTCTGGGACGTACAGCCTGAGTCAATTAGAGATAATTGTTTTGTCTGATTTATTGTCTTTACTGTCGCCTACGCTCCGGTTGAGGCAACGGCGATTGGATCAGCACAGAGGCGGACTTAAGAGCCGAGACAAGGTAAAGAGGCAGTTCTGTACATCATATTCATGATAAATAGGTCTTCTGAGGTGCAAGCCGACTTCTCGCAACAATAGAGGCGCCGCGACATGCCAAAGATCGTCCCGAAGGCGTTGGCTCTAGCGGGCCGTGGCGGCGGCGTCAAAATGCTAACTAGCTGCCGTTGACGTTCCCGCTTGGTCCTCAACGGGCAACGCTGGCAGAGGGGATATTCTCTTTTACTCTGAGGTTCTGCTCATTTCTACGATTCTAAAATACCTACCGTGGGACAGGGACAGTCAGCTTCGTGATACCGGGCTAGCCACCCTTGTCCCGGATCCGAAAAGTGGGGCCCGATCGGGCCCGATGCGGGGATCGCGCGGTGCTGGCGCCGCCAGAAGGCAGGGGATGGGCCCCATTCAGCACCGCTCCAAGGCACTCGGAAGCCGTTTAAGATTTCGGGCGTTGCTGATGCTGCGATGTCAGTAGAAGACATCCTCCGTTATGACGGAACAACCGAGGAAGGGATAAGGTTCGACAGGCCTCCATGGTATCGTCGTCACGGGCATTGCTGCCCGCGCTGGAGTTATGCAGTCAACAATATGGATGTGGTTCTCTTTTGCAAACCATACCTACCAGCCTCACCATGATTCTGTCGTCAAGAACCGATTCCTGCCATCACAGTTTCTTCAGAGATGGTGTCCAACACAGCCTCACGCGTCGACCTGAACATCGCCCAAACACCTTCCTCTGCACCTACTCATCGTCATCCAAACATGAGCTTCCTCCCATCCCACCAGGAAGCTCCAGGCAAACCGAAATCCCACAGCCCTTCGGCAACCTTCTCCATCAGACTAGCACACGCAATGTCGTCAGCCCCAAAATTGAACAGAGTATGCAAAAGCCAAAAAAAACCAGCAGACCACAATGCCTCTGTTTCAAACAATAATGCAATGCACGCCAGCGCAGTGATGTCAAGAAACCTCCCGCCCCCCCAGGGATCCCTTTCCCCCTCTTTCAGAAACACTGCAGATGAGGCTTTGATAGGTGCGATCAGCCACACCTCCTCCAGACCGGACGCGCGCGCACGACAGGGGTCTTCCCATCTCGACGTGTGACGTCACCGCTGCGGGCAAGAGCTCTCTCACTCTCTCTGGCCTGCCATCGCATTCTGCCATCAGCTCAGATATTACCAAAACGCCGCAGTACAGACGAGTATATAAATCCACCCATCAAGCCACTTCCGTCATCATGCATGTCTCCCCTGGTCCCATAGCAGCGCCCATCATCCCGCTTACACTAGTTAATAAAAAGACCCCCAACGGGCCATCGAGCTAAATGACGAACAGCAAGAACGACAGCAAACTCGCAAACGTCCCCATTCTCAACAAACTCACATCCAACTCGAACTCGTCCTCGTCCTCATCTTCCTGGACAGGTTCATCATCAAATAAGAAGAGTCACCACACGCCGCACTACAACTCCACAGACCACCACCACCTCAGGATGCCCGTCGGAAACAACGACCAGAACAACGGCGTCACGGGCGCCGCCAAGTTCGTCACCTCGACGCTGGGCAACACCGTCGGTGGCGTCACGCGCACCGTCGGCAACGTCACGGGTGCCGCGACCAAGGGCGTCGGGGACACTATCACGAGCGCGGGCGGCAGCGCGGGGCGGCCCATCGGCGACGGGCTGGGCAACCTCGGCGGCGGGCTGCAGAATGCTTTGAACTCCGTGGGAAAGGGCGCGGAGGATGCGGGGCAGTGGAAAAGATCGTAAATAATGGCTAGGATAATGTGATGCCGCAAATTTGGATCAAAGGTTCCTGAAATTGTATTATTAGGAGCGTTGTCCATCAAATGAAATGATTCACCCTATTTTATTGAGCTCCTGGATGACGTGTCGTTGAGTGAAGTAACTGGTCATATTGTGCGATAAACGCTCTATCGTACTCTACTTTGAATAATTATAATACACCACGCCATAGAATTGGTGATACACACTGACCCGCAATGCGGTCTTGTTCATGAATTCTCCAAACCCGGATAAGCCTGTAACCTTCGTCCACAATTCACTTAGAGGTCACTACGACTGATGCTCCGAAACTGGCGCAATTTCTACCATTCCAGATATGCTTCACCGTTCTTTTACAATGCGCAATTTGTAAGTTTCCAACTGCTCCTTCGTCATCTTGCTGGGGCCGCCCGCGAACTCGTCAACGCCGTTGTTGTTCTTGGGGAACGCAATGACATCCCTAACAGACGACGCGCCGCTCAAGACAGCCACGAAGCGGTCGAGCCCGATGGCGAAGCCGGCGTGCGGCGGACACCCAGAGCCGAGGGCTTTCAGCAGATGCGAAAACTCCTTGACCTTTTTCTTATCCATCTTCAGGATCTCTTCAAAGATGAACTTTTGGATCTGGGCGACGTGGATACGTCTGCTGCCGCCGCCGAGCTCGACACCGTTGAGCACGAGGTCGTAGTGATCTGCCTTGGCCATGATCGGATCAGTGAAGAGTAGCTCGAAATCCTCCTCTGAGTGCGGCGCCGTGAACGGATGGTGGGTGGCGGAGAAGCCTGCCGCGCCGCCCTGCCCACCGACGTCACCCTCCTCCGTGAGGGTGAACATTGGGAAGTCGGTGACCCAGAGAAACTTGAAGGAGTTGTCGCGGTCGATGAGTCTGGTCCTGACAGCCTCGTGGTAGAATGCGATTCTAATCTCGCCGAGCTTGGTTGAGCCGCCCCCGCGAGGCCCCTTCTTGCACGCTTGGAAGAAGACAACGTCGCCATTTTGCAAGTCGGAAAAGCCCGAATCCTCCGGGACATGGGGCAGAATGCTGTCGATGCCTGCCGGCCCAAGAGAGGAGAATCCGTTCAGAGGCTTGCTGCTGTCGAACACTAGGGCCACCGGCCCGCCGTCTGGGTTTTTGGAAAGACTCGCGGGCAGGTCGCCCATGAACTTCAGCAGGGCCTTTGACACGTCGGATTTGTCGGCGTCTTCCCGGGGGCTGAACTTCCATGTTTCGACAGCGGGGTCTTCGAGGTCGCTGATCATGCTGATGAAGTGTCGGTCGAGGTGCTCATCGACGCGGCATATCTGAATTGTGTTAGTCAAAGACAAGCAAGCATGCGTCGAGACTGACCCTGTTCGGTATGCGCAAGTCTGGCTTGTCGGATCCGTAGAGATCCATACAGTCCGTGTACTTCATCCTTATGAACGGCGTCGGAATGACAGGGTATTCTTGGTAAAGGGGTGTTTGAGAGTCGTCCTTTGCACTATCTTGGACGCTCTGCTTCCAATCCTGACCATCTTAGTCTTTGAATAGCTTTCGTGTGAGACGTGATCTGCCTACCTGGAGGGATGACTTTTTGATTGGTGAGAAACCCTTCTTCCCAATCTCCATGACATATTGCTCTCGCATGGCCTCCCAGGCTCTTCCAACGACGTACTCGACGTCTTCCATAATGTGCTTTCCCGTGGCGAAGGACTTCTCCATGTCAAGCTGTACAGCATGTCAGCCGCGCAGCTTTTGAACTTGAGAGGATTATACAAACCTGGGTGAACTCGGGCTGCCGGTCAGCACGATGATCTTCGTCGCGGAAACATCGCGCAAATTGGTAGTAGCCAGACATGCCAGATGCCATCAAGACCTGCTTATATTGCTGTGGACTTTGTGGCAGAGCATACGCATGCCCGACCTTCCGCGTTGGCACGATGAATTCTCTGGCACCTTCAGATGTCGATTTGAACAAGACTGGGGTTTCCACGTCCATGTAGTCCCGATCCACCATAGCTTGTGCCAGAGTTGATTTGAGTTGAGCACGGAAGCGCAATCTCTCGCGCAGATCCTTGTGGAAGCGCAATTGCAGGTGGCGCTTCTCTGGTGGGAAAAGCGTGCCTGGGCCGATGATGATTTCAGGCGGGAAGTAGCCAAGGTGTTTTATCGACTCCAAATCCATCTCAAAATGCGACATGGTAGAAGCCTCAGTGACAGTGCCCGAAGCAAGGACTGCACTAAAAGGGCGTATCTTGCTCAACTTATCAACCTCCTCCTGCCCTTTGGCGGCGATCTGACCTATCCGCTGACCATTGCGTTCTAAGCTGGCGAAGGCCAAATTTCTGCTGACCTTTCGAAGTTTACTGATGTAACCGCTGATGGTGATTTTGGCTCCGACATGACCCCAAGTCTCAGGCTCGGACATGTCAGGGGTGGCAACTGGGTAGTCCAACATCAGCCATAGAACCTCTATATCGATTGGCATTACCGCTTACAGCAAGTCTTGAAGTTCTCTGAGAGAGCCGTGTGAACATCGTCGGCCTTTGGACTGGCTGTTGATCCACAGCGAGTTTGCTGAGAGAAGGAAATCGAAGCGCAACATGGCTGTTTTGAGATCAATACTAGCCCTCGAGTTACAGACTGCGACTGCGATATGCGAGGATGCAGGCTGGCCAGGCCTCTCATCCGACAGCACTGTCGAAGCATTTTAAAGGGCTATGAAGGCGTCCAGCGGTATAACGAGAGTCGCTGACAATAATTTCAAGATTGAGATGTATTTGCGACTAGTAGTCCAGTGCTGAAAAATCTCAATGGCGCCACATGGCGGGTGAATATCCTCGGCGGGTCAAATTTGACGTTGAATATTCATGAGAAGCTATCGCAGCTCAGCCCACTGAACCCGCCCATCCGACATTTTCGCAGCCAATGCGGGCCAGGGTGGGCAGTCGCGCTGCAGGGCACCTTCACCTTGGCAGCTCAGCTGTGTTGCACCTCAGGCAGGAGGCGGGTCCCCACCAAAAAAAGTGATTAGCGCGGGGCAGGCTCCCTGTATAAAAAAACTCGCGTCGAGCTCCGAAAAATCTTTCCTTTTCCTCTTTATGATTCTTCCATTTCAAAAAAGTGTATGTTTGGTCCGCCCCCCGGTATCGCGCCGCACCGCACACACCGCATCGAGAAACTTTACTGACAACGATTCTGCAGGTGATGAAAGCCGCGCGTGTTTAATATGATGCAGCTCCCGCTGTCCGAGGCATCCAAGCTCTCCCCTTCGGGCGGCTTCAGGGCAAAGGTGTCGAGGGCAGTGGGGGCCATGATCTAGGCGTTCGACACGACCTTGTTACAACATCGGACGCGATGAAAGGCAACTCTGATTTTTATCGAAATGGAAGATTCTACGAGGGTTCTGGGGGCTTTTGGCACGCAGCAGTAACCGACAGACCTGTCAGCGCCAAGTGGCGCCTCAGGTCCCGTCTGTGTTGACTGACTGGTGATGGGCACAGTTGCGGTCGGGCGCGTTTTTACGTTTTTCCCGCCGTACATCGGCCGGTGATGGTCGATTGGCTTCAGTTTGCGACACATCGGATGTTCCTACCTTTCGCAGTCGTAGCCGACGGAGCTTGCTCTTGTTGGAGAGCTAGGTTGGCTTGGGTGTGGGAGGCACGGATGACGGCAAGTCGAGACTGGGAAAGCCAGCGAGGGAGCGAAATACGAGTCGAGCATTCTGTGTACAGTAGCAATTTGACCTCGTCGGTGCATACACACTGACGAGGAGGACGCCCTGTGCGGGTGGCCAGCAATATCCCAGACTTTTATGAATCAAACAAAAAAGACCGATGTTGGGGAGAAGTAAGATGCGGTACATGTGAAGAGGTGGCCAGCGAACCCCATGTTTCTTGATGGCGTTTCAACCGCCATGGTGCCGTTGGATGGCGTTGGAGTTGTTGCACTGCCGAGCGTGAGGGGCTCGCTGATGTATTCGTACCTGCCTTGGCTGCTGTATTATTTTGAGCGTGGTTGGTTCATTGGAGAGGGAGCGTTCGCATTGGCAGCTGACTGATGTGCTGTCAAATCCTCGGATTGGTACTGAATACGGTTCGGGTCGTGTTTTCCTGGGCATTTGATGGGCGAGACACCGATCGGAAGAAGAAACCAGCTGTGAACGGCAGAAGCAAGCAAGCAACAGCAGCAATGGCATCTCCACCCACACTCTTTCTATCCGTACTTCTCCCCCCCAAAAAACAACCTGCACCCCGGCAGGTCGGAGCTGCCAGTGTTCGTCCGTGTCAGTAAGGTATTACCATTAGATGGGGGGCCGCCTTGACGGGACCTCGGGGTCGTCCTGAGGCCCACCTCACACACTCAGGCGGCGCTAAAGAGGACGCCGCACTGGTAGAGAATCTCTTTAGCGGCGGGCGATGCTTGGTGTGTGTCGCAGTTGAGGTCGCAGTGCAGCGCAGCGCAACGCCAGGACCACCCATGGCGTACCTGACCTGACCTTACCGTACCTAACCTGAGGTAAGGTACTTTACCTCACTACCTTACATGCACCGCAAGTCCTCTTCCCTCCACGTCGTTGGAATGCCACGGCGACAGGTGCCGACTGCCAGCATCACGAGCCCGCAAAACAGGCACTCGTGGACAGGGTTCCCTACCACTGCTACCGGCATAACCGGGTACGTGCTTTGTTGTACTACGGATGGTAGATACCCCTAAGGTCTACGGTCCATCGTGTGGTACAGCTGCTGCCACGACAAAGCTGTTGGGTAGAGTCGAAAAGGACATCTACATCTCCAGGCGACTCGAGTGAAGATACCTAAGGGAAAGACAGGTAGGAAAAGGAAAGGTGACGATGGGACCAAGACTCGTCCTAGTGTCGGTGGCGTAGCGACGCAGACGGGAAAGCAGAAGGGCTGCCCAGGAATCAGAGGCCGCGGCCGCTAGGCGCACCGCACCTGGACCTGACCTCTGGACTTGAACACGCACTTGCACCTCCCCCCCCCGTCCCTCACAGGCTCACAGCCCAGGTTACGTAGCAGCCCGACCAACCGACGGCCGTCGTCTTTCCCAATTCAAGACCGTGGCCCGTCCTCCTCCACCCAAACCCACCACTTCCCGACCAAACGTGGCCAACGTCGATACTGACGCTGCCCGCCCTCATTTCCCGAATACCCAACGTTAGCTCCTCGCTCACGCTCCGCTCCATCAGGCGCGCCGCCATATCTCGACAACTGCATCGCCAAATCTGTATCCTTAATCACCATCTCCGCGGTCCCTTTCCGATATCCCAACGCCCTGTCATGGCCGTTGGTCCTACCCCGGAGCCCGAACCACTCGTCCTGCATTGAAGCTTGCCAGGGCCCAATTTCGCCCAGCTGAGGATTTCCCTGGCCTGCAACCCGCCTCCGTCGCGCCCCGTCACCGATACTTCTCCCGTCCGTCGACCACGACCCCGTCTGCATCTCTAAGAAGCGCAGACCTCGCGATAATCCATATTCCTGTAAAGGAGCAATTAACCCGCTCGAGATACCCCGTCGAGGCCCGTGACGGCCGTTCCCTTTCGACGGTTTTCCTTTTCCGCGACTTTCGTCCGATCGCAACCCTCAACTCAGCTTTCCCTTCGTCGCCAAGCTCACCGGCTGCCACGAGTCCCCGACAGCGACGAACAACCACTTCGATCCGACCGACAAAATGTCAAGCTCCTTCGAGAAATCGGTCAAGGGGGCCACCAAGATCAAGGTTGGTTAAGGGAGGCGGCGACGGTCATTCCACGTCGCTAGCTCTTCGCGCCTCGCCCGATCGTGACGATGCTGACTTTATTGCCTCTAGGCCGCGCCACCCAAGACCAAATACATCGAACACATTCTCGTAGCGACACATGCCGGCGAGGCTGGCGTTGGGGAGGTCTTTCGCGCCCTGCAGTTCCGTTTGCGAGACTCGACATGGACCGTCGTCTTCAAGAGCTTAATCACCGTTCACCTGATGATCCGTGAAGGCTCACCCGATGTCACACTGTCATTCCTCGCGAGGCACCCCAACACGCTTGCTATCAGCAGCTTTACGGACGGTATGTAGATATTGAGGCTGTCGATGAAGACGGTGGATGCGGTGCTAACAACGCATAATAGCCCAGACACAGGGTCGGAACATTCGGCATTACGCCAGCTACCTGAGCTCCCGAGCAAAGGCGTTTCGCGAAACGAAATGCGACTGGGTCCGGACCAAAGAATCGAGGTTGGAGAAGCTTACGGTCGAAAAAGGCCTGCTGAGGGAGACGGAAATCCTCCAAACCCAAATCACAGCCCTGCTGAAATGCGATGTGAGTCTTACGTGGTTGGAGATGGCTGGGTTCGGGTATTGACGTTGAGCAGGTACTCGAAGGCGAAATCGAGAACGAAATCACAGTCACCGTATTCAGACTACTGGTGCTTGACCTTTTGGCTCTCTTCCAGGCTCTGAACCAGGGAATGATTAACATCCTAGGTAGGTCTTGGAGTTCGCGCACATTGTATACTTGCTAACTAGCCAGGCAACTTCTTCGAAATGTCAAAGGTCGACGCCGAGCGAGCCATGGCCATCTACCGCAACTTCACCAAGCAGACGGATTTCGTAGTGCAATACCTGAGCGTCGCACGGCAATTTGAGCACCAGACCCGCGTCGAAGTTCCTAAGCTGAAGCACGCGCCCGTCAACTTGGGTCGACAACTCGAGGAGTACCTGCACGACCCCGACTTTGAGGTCAACAGAAGGCAGTACATCGCTGAGCAGCAGGCCAAGAAGAAGGGAGGAGGTGCGATCATGAAGTCAGCGGGTGCTGTGTTCGATTCCAAACCCGCGCCAGCAGCGAACAACCCGTTCCCGAGTACCAACGGATTTTCACAGCCAAAGACTGAGACTGCCAAGGGACCTGCGCCGGATCTTATTGATTTCTTCGAATCGATTGAACAGAACCAAACGACGATGGCGCCGAACCAGCAGCAACATCAGCAACAGCAGCAAATGCCTATGCAGACTGGCTTTGCCCCCAATGGCCAATTCCAACCGCAACCTACAGGCTTCCAGCAGAATGGGTTTGGAGCGCAGCAGCCGCAGAACGGATTCGCACCTCAGCCGACAGGATTTGGGACCAATCCGTACCAGCAGCAACCGCAGCAGCAGCAACAGAGCACAAACCCCTTCGGCCAGCCTCAACAGCAGCCCCAGCAGCAAGCACCACAACCATTGCAACCCGCCTTTACTGGGGCTGGATTCGGCGGCTTCACCCCTCAACCGCAACAGCCTTTCCAGCCCGGTACCCTTGGTGCCATACCGCAGGACTCCGTGGCTAGCTTCCCTACTGGTGCGACCGGCATGCTTAGTCCCAACTCGGCTCAGCAGATGACGAATCCATTCCGGGCGTCTATGTTGATGGCCCAGCAAACGGGCATGTCTACTAATACCGGGTTCTCGAGCCCAGCCAGCCCTCAGCCCAATCTCAACAGGCAATCTACCAACCCTTTTGCGAGATCTTCGCCTCAAGCGCAACAACCATTCCCGACCGCGCCTGCGCCTAATAACTCTCCGTTTGGCTCTCAGCCGAGCCAGTCGACGACGCAACTCCCGACCATTGCACCTTTGCAGCCGATGATGACTGGCACCAACCCGTTCGCCAAGAACTTCACCGGGCAGCAAATGCAGCAGCAAAGGCCCGCTACCAGCTCTGGTGCGCTCGTTCCACAACCAACAGGGACCACGAACCCTTTCCGCCAGGGTGCCTTTGTGAACCACCAGACAGGCATGGGCTGGCAGCACAACCAGCAGGCCATGGGCGGAGGGCTGGATTCTCTGGATACTGTGCCCGTTTTCCCGCGACCTATTCAGCAAAGTCCCTGGCAGACATAATACCGACTGTTTCAAAGATGGCGCCGCGAGCATCATTGCATGCGACGGGGCAATTTCCTTCTCTAGTTTCTCATCTCAAGCGAGGCGTTGTTCTGGGTTTGCTTGTACTACGGAGGAAGGGTGCTTAGACGGCTTGCGAAAAACAAAGCTCGGCAACGGATTAAGTCACTGGTGGAAACCGGGCATTATCATCGAAGCCTGAGCTTGAAAAATGTATTATCTAGTAAGCAGACTTTAGAAAGTAATTTTTGCATAAGAGGGAGTTGTCTCCCTCAGGACTCTTTTTGAATCTCTGCTTCGCAAGTACTGTTTTGCGTCATCGCCGTCTAGTAATCCTGTCCAAGTACCCGCCAAACGCCATCGCTATGCCTGCCCAAAATATCGCGATAAACAATGAAAACTAGAAAACGTCATCTACTTCCATCCTCTGACTTGTCACTCCCGTAGCGGCCGCTGCCGCAGCTTCCGCCGTAGCAACCTTCTCCGGCCCCTTCTCGTCGTCAATGAACACAGCCAAGCCCGAAAACGCCTCGAACATGGCCCGTCCCAGGTACTCCTCCGCGCTGTACCCGCCAACCACAATCTCGTCCTTCTTGCGCGCGTCGTCGACCCAGGGGTTGCGGTACTCGTCCAGCGGGCCAAGTGCATACCGCTCCATGTCGAGGCGCAGCCCGCCAAAGGGGTCGTAGGGCTTGTTCTCCTCCACAACGCGCTTCTTCTCCTTCTTCAGGCCGCGGATGGACAGGCCTGGCGCGGAGCTGCCTGTGGCGTCGGCGAGGGAGCTCGCGGCGGCGGCCATCCGGCCCTGGCCGCGCTTCTTGAGCAGGATGCGGTTCAGCGTCTGCTTGGCCTCGCCGACGTCGCCGGAGGCAAGGCCGTCGAGCATCTCCTCGCGCATGCGCTGCTCCTTCTTCTTCTCGGCCTTGTCCTCCTCCATGGCCTCCGCGCGGCGGCGCCGCGCCTCGTCCTTCTCGGCCTCGAAGCGCGCCACGCGCTCCGCCTCGGACTCCTTGGCCAGCCGGCGGTTGCGCTCGATGTCGGCGCGGTGCGCCTGCTCCCACTCGATGAGCCGCGCCTCGGCGGCCTTCTTTTCCGCGTCGGTGCCGGAGATGATGTCGAAGGTGAGCGTCTCGACCCACTCGAGGTAGCCGTTGTAGTCGGCGAGGGTCTCGAAGTCGTCCTCGACCTTGTTGAGGACGGCGGCGACGCGCCGGCGTATGTCGACCTCGCGCTCGACGGCGAGGTCGCCGAAGTAGGCGGACTTGAAGCCCTTCTTGCGCAGCGTCTTGTGGCAGCCGGCGTAGGGGCACTGGTTGGGCCCGTCGGAGAAGATGCGGGCGACGCAGTTGGCGCACATGGGGTGGTAGCACTCCGGGTTGATGAGGAACTCGAGGTCTTTGTTGAGGTAGCGCATGGTTTTGCAGACGGGGCAGACGGAGTCGTCGGTCTGCACGGCGCCGCCGTTGGGGGCGCGGGCGGCGGACATGATGTGGGTTTGTTGGTTGGCGTGAATGCTCGTGGATGGGGTTCCGTCTCGTCCCGTCGGGTTTGGATGGGAAGGTTCGATGGACGACGTAGTTGACTCAGGGCGGCATTGAGATGGGTTGTTGGAGGACCGCGGGTTGAGGTTGCGCTGGAGTTTGGGGTTGAAGAAATCAAGCACCGCGCCTGCCTGAAAGAAACGAAGTTCACGATTAAGATGCGCCCAGATCGGCGGTGGTGGCTTGTAAAGTTGACGGCGAGGCTGATTGGGAAAGGAAACGTTTATTAAGCGAAGCTAATTGGCCAGAGCTCCCCGATCGAAAACGCACGGTCCGGGGGGGCGTAATATGGGGGGTTGATGGTGGTGCAGTGCAGCTAAGCTACCCCTCCAAGAATTCCGTCAGCCTTTCCAGGGTCTTCTTCGACTTTTGCCATCATTCTGTGTACCGCAATACTGCAATCATGGCCGACAAACCTGGTATGTGTTCACCCCTCCTGCTTATCTGAGCGGAAGGTCGACGGTGACATATCATGAACAATCAAAAACTGACCACGCAAAACCACACAGAACCCACCCCCGCCGAGGAGGCCGCCGCCCGCGCCAAGGAGGCCGAGGAGCAGAACGCGCTGCCGTACAAGTGGCAGCAGACCATCGCCGACGTCGACGTCACCTTCAGCGTGCCCGGCAACTACAAGAGCAGAGACCTCGTCATCGACCTGAAGAAGAACACAATCTCCGCCAGCGTGAAGGGCCAGGAGCCGATCATTAAGGTATGCATTACCCCACGGGAGGCACACCATCACTGCCGAGGACGAGGAAACTGACACGGAAGGGCACAGGGCGACCTCCCCCACGCAATCATCGTCGACGACTCGACCTGGACGCTGGCCTCGGCCGCGGACGGCACCAAGACGGTCGAGATCCACCTGGACAAGGTGAACAAGATGGAGTGGTGGCCGCACGTGGTTAAGGACGCGCCCAAGATCGACGTGTCCAAGATCCAGCCCGACACGAGCAAGCTGTCGGACCTCGACGGCGAGACGCGCGGCATGGTCGAGAAGATGATGTGGGACCAGCGCCAGAAGGAGATGGGCCTGCCGACCTCCGACGAGCAGAAGAAGCTCGACATCCTCAAGAAGTTCCAGGCCGAGCACCCCGAGATGGACTTCAGCAACGCCAAGATCAGCTAGACGAGCCATGATGTAGGAGAGGGCGATAACGAAGACAGTTACACACGGGGGCACGCACACACATGACACATAGGCGTTGGTGAATTGAAAGTGTATTCATTACGAACTAGTTTACGGTACGAGAAAATGTCAGGGGTGAAACGAATCGCCGAAACCATGGGAGAGCAGAAGCAAACGGTTATGGCGTCAGAGAGCCCATGTGTTGTGACATTCCTCTTGGATCCGCTAGTAATGGTGAAGCAGATTGAATGCTGCAGCCCATCAATTGTCAGATTAATAAGCGGTCCGTCGCTACAGCGCGTCCCTGGAAGAGAAAAAAGACCATGCACTGTGAAGAAGCAAAGCTGGACGGATTAGTGGTTGACAACAGCAAAGAGGTTGATAGCAAAAGCACGTCAGGAATCCTTAGAGCACAGGTTCGCCGACATGAGACCCAACATTGGGTCTATGAATCCAATTTCTATCCGCTCTAAACACCCTCGCATGTCCTGACGGATGGCGTTGGAAAAGCAAGCAGACAAGAGGGCATGGAGCTGCCTCGGCGCACGAATCACTTGACACGGCATCTGTGATGTTGATTAGCGAAAATTCCTCACGGACTGATGCAAACAACATTGGAAAGTAAAAGTGGTATCAGAAAGTAGATTACATCCACACATGTTTTGGTATCTCGGACAGGGATAACTGTATTTTTGATGTCTAATTCATCATTTGGGAGGAGGGGGTGAAGCGAAAAAGAAGATCGTCTTACCTGGGATGATGGATGGGACGGGCGTGTGATGTTGGAAGTTATTCACTTGGTTGAGTATCTGAGAATTGAGTCAGTCAAGTCTTCCTGAAGACAAGTCCAGTCATGAGCAAAGAAAAGATGCCAAATCAGAAGGTAGATTACATCCACACATATTTTGTATCTCGGACAGGGATAACTGTATTTTTGAAGTCTAAATCATCATTTGGGGAGGGTGTTGAGTAAAGAAAGTATCACCACGTACCTATTGGGTTGAGATCCGGCCGTCTACTGCTTGGAAAGACGAGCAGCCTTGAACTTGCTGATGCGCTGACCGCCGTCGGCCTCGTCCAGTGGCCGGATCACAGACGTGTCTTCTTGCAAGAAACCACCCTGTTTCTGGATGAAGTTTCTCCGCTTGCGGTGGTACTCGTCGGCAACGTCTTGGTCGATGAAGTCATCCCCAAAGGCGTCGTCGTCCATTGGGTTGGCCTCCTTCTCCACGATGGCATCGGCGAGCGTCTTGCCTTCTGGGCCAGTAGGAGCAGTGGGTCGGTCCTGGTCGAGGAAACGGACAGGTACATCCATCGGACCCTTGGGGACGGCGTCGTCATCAACGACAGTCGGGGCAGCTCTTTGCTTCTTGAAGCGTGAAGCCTTGCGCATGGACGTGACTTCTGTTTGCTGCGCGGGGCCAGAGCGCTCAACGATGTCGCTAAGAGGCTCGACGATGGGCTCTGTGGGAGCCTCGGGAGCGACAGCTGGCGATGATGTTGCAGGCGTCGTCTCGGGAGCGATATCGAGGTTTTGGGCGAAGCGAACGCTCTTCTTGCTGTCAGACTCGGTCGGCGAAGAGGTTCGCAGGCTGGAAGCGGCCGGGGAAGGCGTAGACTTGGGAGGTTCCGAAGCCTTGGCCTGCTCGCCACGCTTGATAACGATGCGACCGATGCCTTGCTTATCCTCGTTGTCGGAGTCATCCGCTTCTTCCTCGGCCTTCTCCGTAAAGCGAGACTTGACACCAAGTCGCTTCTCGAGCTCGAGCATCCGCTGGTGGTAGCCGTCGTCGAGGACACTGCTGGTGGAACGTCCGTACTTGTCCTCTTCCTCGTCCTCGTCAAGGTCAGAGTAGTCGTACTCCCAGTCATCGTCGTCATCGCCGGAGCCTTCCTCGAGCGTCAACTCAGCGACGACAGCCCCGACCTCCTCCATGCCGTACTTGAGCATCTCTCGGCGGAGGAGTGCGTCTTCCTCAGTCTCGCCCTCGGGAACGACAGGAGGCTGCCGGCTAATCTCCTCCTGATCCTTCGCCGTCTTCATGATTTCTTCCACGCGCTGGGCGTTTCTAGAAATCTGAGGCTCTGAAGCGGGCTTGGTATCCTCCGAGAAGGAGACAGTCTTCTTGACAGGGACGATGTCGTCGACCTTGTACTCGGACTGAGATGGCTCGACGGCAGGAACGAGTTCCTCCTTCGGTGCTGGAGCCTCAGCAGGCTTGTCGGTGACATCCTCGACGATCGCTTCAACCTTTTCCGGGCTCTCAGTCTTGCCCTCAGGAATGTCCTTGACGCCGGCCTTCTCCAAGATCTCCCTGATCTGCCCACTGGAGTCGCCCGGACGCTGGAGCCGACTAGCAACAATGTTGCCTTCCTCGTCCAGCTCCTCGATGATCTCTGTTATGGGCAGGCCATCTTCGTCGCGCACGTCGGGGTTGCTGACGATGCTGGCGGCGGCGTGCTTCTGCTCAGCAGACTCGAGCTGCTTCTCGAGCGTCTCGATGTTCTTGGACACATAGTCGATGCGACGCGTCAGGAGATTGACAATCTGCTCAGCAGGCTTAAGGTCGATCCTGCCAAACAAGTCATTGATCTCCTTCTTGTCGACGACCTCGCCCTCAAAGTCCCGGCGGATGCGCGCGAGGTGCTCAGAGCTGGCGGGTTGGGGAGCAGACTCGATCTCCTCTTTCAAGGACTCATACTCCGCGTCCCATTGTCGCCAGTGCTGCAGAGCCTTCTGCAACTTGGCGATATTGTCTTCAAGTTGCAGACGGTGCTTTTCGAGGTCGAGAAAGCTGTCTCTGACTGTGGCCATGGTGGAAGAAAGATGGGAGAGATGAATGGTCGGAAGAACGGGAACGACAAGAAAAAAAATCCAGCGGAGCATGGAATTTCGGAGCTTGGACTGGATTAGGTAATCGACTGGCCAGGGTCGCGTCGCATTACGTAAGTGGGGTCTAGGATGCGCGTGCCCATTTTCTTGGTGGGGTGGCCGTGGTGCCTGCTTGTCTCTTCCATCTCACCGAGATCATCAAGCTCAGGATCAAGTGTCACACAACGACCTAATCCTAGTATATTCGAACTTGTCCACTGACATGTTTATTCTAGGAGGAACCCAAGCTAGCCTTCTTCCTAAAATATCTCAGTCTCCTGCCTAGAACCTTCTCTTGCACTAAGATCTCGGCCTGACACCAATCAGGTACTTGTTAGACTTGAGCTGCAGGCTTACCAGAACCATTGTCTCCCGAGACTGGCCAGGCACGAAGAAAAAATCATATCTCCTAAGGAGAGAAGCCATCGTAAGCCGGAGCTCATTCCACGCAAATCTGATGCGATCATTAGTATTATCGTTGAACTCGGAAGGCGCGGGAGACCTCACTGTTTGCCAATGCAGTTTCTAGACGCCGCAGAGAATGGGTAGTACGACATCTTTTCGGCGGCTGGCACCCCTTTGTAATCCGAGAGCCACCGTTCGGGAACAAAATCATCAGCATCAGGCCACTCCCTCTCGTCCAAGTGCAGCGGAAACGTGTTGGCAGTAATGGCAGTCTTGGTCGCGTTAGATACCCCAAGAAACAGCGGCTAGGCCGGGAGACAACTTACTCCAGCGGGAAAGAGATGCCCAACCAGAACGATATCCTCATCAGTTTGTCTTTGTAATCCTACATAGACGTCAGCAACTGCAAGCCTTCACCATACGAGAACCTTACCAGAAGCTGCTGGTGCTCTGAGCCTCAAAGTCTCCTTCAGAACTGCATTGAGGAACGGCAGATTCGCCGTCATTTCATTAGTCACTGGCGAGCTTGCGTCAGGGAAGACTTGGCGGATCTCGTCCACAAGCCTTTTGTAACGGACTGGATCGTCCAAGAGGAATATGAACGCGAAGATCAGCGTGGTAGCCGCTGTCTCGCCACCAGCCAGCATGAAGAGAAACATCTCTGCCATGACTACCTTGTCTGAGAAGTCTTCTGGGTTCTGGTCGTGAGTGTCGAGGAGCAACTGCAGGATATCAGGCTTCGCGATCTTGTCTTGCGAAGTTCTCCTTCGTGCAATGACCTCGTCGACGAGCCTCTTAAGCTCGGGGTCTTGCGACTTTGGCAGGAAGGGGATCCAACGTAAGAATGGCAGTGTTTGGTACTTGACTTGGTTAGTTGGGCTATATAATGAGCCGGGTTCAGAAAGGGCTTCTCACGACAGCGTTGCGTCTGAAGTTCTGCGACATCCTCAAACGAATGGGATGCTCCCCGTTCTTCACCAGTTTGAACGAGCCTCCAAAAGAAGTCTCGCTCATGACATCAGAGGTCAAGCATCCAAAGAGATGCCAGATGTCGATTTCTGCCTTCCCGCCGGCGGCAGCGCCGCAACGTTCATCAATCACCTCCTCCAGATCCCTGATGCAGCTCAACATCATCGGCTCGAGACCTTTGATGTAGCTGACCGAAAAGCCGTGGGACAGCAGGCGTCGCCGGGTGCGGTACTCTGCGCGGTCTCGTATCGTGAATATCGTCGCGATGTCTTTGTCCTGGCGGAACTTCTCGTACGCAGCGCTCTTGCGGAGGTCTTTTTCGACGACAATTTGGTGGACTGCCTCCTTGTTGGAAATCATCACAACGTTGGGCGCTAGTGGCAGAGTCAGTGTTGTGAAGTTTCCCCAGGAAGGCAGTGATGCATACCGATTCTGACAATTTCGCCATACTTCTTTGGATAGTCGATGCACATTTGTCCTGATTTGCCGGTGATGACCGTCAATTTCCAAGGGACGGCGGTGAATCTGTTCAACCACGGCCCAGGAACCTTGCTAAGCGGTCCTGTGAGGCCGATCCATACCGCCTTCGAGATCTCGATGCCATAGTAGACAAGAGCAAGCAAACCGAAAACCGTGGCCGCAGTCTTGAGATCTAGACCAGGTCTTCCGAGCATCACATTGCTGCTGTTAGACGAATCCATGCTGAGATTCTGTCCACCGTATAGCAGAAGTCGACGCAAATGTGATGCCTCAACAAAACCGCAGCGTTGTTGAAGCGTGGAGGAAGATCTCCCTCGATTTTCTCAAGGAGACGGAAAAATCTGGAATGAAGGGAATTCAGCTGCCTGGCTCAAGACCCGACAGTCTGGATGCTGGGATCACACGTGTGGCTGAATCCCAAGCTTACATACTTAGCGCTTATGATTGGCAACCTCGGAACGGGACTTCTGCCATTTCAGATAGCAATGGCTTGTAATACCCCTGTGAAATGCAGAGATTGCACACGTCAGACGTGTATTCCGCCATATCAACGGCCAAATGAGCCTTGTGCATGAGAAGGATCGTCTCACCAACCTCGTCTAGCTGATCGGGTTTGACGAAATCAATTGGGTGCTACAAGTCCAAGTATCCTATCACCTCACGTTGAGCCTTCACAACATCTCCATAACCTGTTTGAAGCTGGTAGAGTCAAGCCGCCTGATGTATCCCACACCCAGGAAACAGGCTGTACCAGCCATCGTCGCAAACAGAAGCGAAGTGGCCCACAGGTCCCAGTTCCGCGCCTTCCAAATTGACATTCTCATATCTGCGGTCTGGAGATGCATGGGCCGGAGTTCTTGCCCACGTCTGAAGCGTAGCTCGTGGTCGTGGATGACCTCCTCCACCATGTCAGCAGCAAGGTGCTTCCTCCGCGAAGCGACGCGCGCAATCCTCTTCATGCGCTCGACGTTTCTGGCAATCTTGCCTTCGGGGTCGACTACAATGGCCCAAATCCGGCTGGCCATCCCCTCGGGCGTGAAGTCGAACTTGTCCATGGCCAGACCGACTCCCGCCTCGACTAAGCGCGCGCTGTTGGCGAGCTGGTCGAAGAAATAGCCAATCACGAGAACGGGCGTCCCATGGAACAGGGCTTCGCTCGCGCTGGAGCCACCTCCGTGAGTGAGGTAGACCCTGGTACTAGTGTGCTCCAATGTGGCTCGCTGCGGCGCAAAGCTTGTGACGAGAAATTCAGAGTGACTTCCGTTGATAATACCCCCGACTGTCAGACTTGACCCACCCTTCCTCTCCAAAGAGGCCGTCGTATCGGCACGTCTCTTGGCGGCTATTGGCATGGACCATATCACGCCGTTGATGTGCCCCATATCCAATGACATGACGAGACCACGAATCAGCTTGGCCAAGTCCACGTCAGGGAGGACGATGTGGGTGCCAAGAGCTACGTACACAGTCTTATCGTGAGACTCGAGGAAATCCAGATACATATCGTCGAGCCCAGCGAACTCATCGCTGAGTATCGGGCCTACCGGAAGCATCAGAGGCGGCAAGTCCTTGGGAGGCTCAAGCCCGAAGAACGAGTTGATGAAGACGAGGTGATTCGGTTTTGTGGCCACCTGCAACGCATGATGAACGCCCTGCCGCTTCCTCAACTTCTTGAACCACCGTGTCCACCCCATGATATGCGGCAGAGCCCAGAACAACACCATCTCGTTCCTTATGCGCGACCAGATGGATGCTCTCTCTGACGTCGGTGTAAAGTCGACTTGGAAGCCTGGCTGACCGGGTATATAGCTCGCCGGGGCCAGGATATAAGGCATCTGCGGCCACATGATGGCAATGGGCACGCCAAACTCGATCATCATATCTTTGGCGGCGGCATCGACGAAGAAGTCGGCAATGATCATGTCTGGCGTGGTATCCGGACCCAGCACCAGCTCACGTAGGTGGAAATAGGTGTCCGGCCAATACGAATCGAAGAGATACTTGGATTGCATGATCGAGCCAACGCCATCGCTGGGCCGCCACTGTCTCATGCGTGTGTAATGCTGCTCCGCCTCATCGTCCGGGAGGGCGGGACCGAAGCTATGGATGCGACTGATGGATGGGTAGGCGGAAGCCCAATGTTCTTGACCCGTATTGGTGCCGAAATGAACCTCGTGGCCGCGTGCCGCAAGGACCGCGCCGAGTTCGAGAACCGGGGCTGCGTGGGTGAAGCCGCCGACGGTTGAGACGAGGAGGATCCTGCGTTTTTGGAAGGTTTCTGGGGAAGTAGCCATCATATTTCCTAACCAAACGTTTGACATCAGTTCTAGGCTAGTTGAATATGAGAGATAGGCGAGAGATTGGGACAATTGATCCCTTTTCTAGAGCGGCTCGGCGGGTTGCACCATCTCGGCGGGTTTCGGCAGGTTGGTGGAGTGACATTCTCATGCAGGCAGCAGGGCTCGGTTTGCCGTGACGCGCCATCATGGTTATATTTAACGGGTGGCTCCCGAGGTATAGCAACAATTATAAAAAGGCCGATGACTTCGTGAAATGGGCGAAACCCTTCTCAACTCTTGATCCATGTCTTGAAAAGCCAGGTGTTGGGGATAGCTGGTTGCTCAATAACTGTTTCCCGTCTGTTCAGAGCTTACTCCCTAGTTACATGAAAACCCTGCATCTGAACGAACAGCAGATCAGCTATGGCGAGCTTACTCTTCCTTGTAGATACCAAAAGAAGTCTGAAGTTCCAGCCTCGGGTGAAAAAAGAAAGCAACATCGTAAGATGAACAGGAAGAAGCTTTGAGCGTCAACCGGAATCGCCAAGGGCTACAGCTGGTATCAGCTGTTCAGATGATGAATCTCCTCGGACGCCGTCAAGGATCCGAATCCTTCGTCGTCTGCCTGATCCCACCGTTCACCAATCGGGGTAAGACTGGAGACGGCACAGTAAGACGAACTCTTAGACCCTGGTCACGTTCTCAACATGTCATCCAAACTTAACGATCGCAACTTCGGCTCTCTACGTCTGTATCGATGACCAAATCAAGTCGAGGACCGTTCACAGGGATCCGCCAGGCCTGCGATGCGTGCCACTTTAAGAAGATCCGCTGTCTGCGAGGTCCGGAAGAGGGCGACGGGCCATGTCAGAAATGCAGCCGCGAAGGCGTCGCATGCGTCTTCAGTCCCGCGCTGAAGACGGGCAGACCACCGAAGAAGCCCCCTGCGGCGATCCGTCCGGAACCTGGGCCAACTCTGACACCGCCATCGACCTTATCCTCAGACACTCCATCACAGCCTATCGATCCAATTTCCCAGGCTCCGCCATCTACGTTGGACGAACCACCGATCCCCTGGGAAGCATGGGACGGCATGGACATGGGCATCGTCTGCTTCCCGTCCGCGGACTGTCCACTGCAGCATGACTTTGACGAGCTGAAGAAGGCCGCCAAGCCGGAAGTCATTGTTCTCAAGCGGCTCGAGCAGCTTTCAGCGTTCCAGCAGCAGCTTGTCGCAAAGAGGAGGGAGCATGCCGACGTATTCTCCCGGCAGCCTGGGACTGATGCCTCCAACGCCATCCAGGAAATGCTGCAAATCACCCAGAAGGTGACAAAGTTCAACGCCTGGCTGATGATGGGCGGCGCCAAGTTCGCCTTCCGCAAGCCCATGCTAGACTCCATGTCAGACGAGACGGCCCTGATGATGGTTGTGTCGCCGGCCACGCTGGTCCTAGAGGTCTTTGTCGACATTCTTGAGCTGGCGTTCCCATCTCTGAAGAAGCGGCCATCGGACTCAGATTGCTCAGTATCTGGCGAGGCTGGCATATGCGCAATCAACCCAGCGCTGCTGTCGAGCGCCAGCATGAAAGAGCTCGGCTTCACGCCGGCCGCCGTGCCTGACATTTCAGCTGTGCATAATCTCGCGAATCCAGTGTGCATCTACATTCTCCTGACAGCGCTCCAGGACCAGCTGGACTCGATGCGGAAAGCTGTCGAACTGAGTTTGGATTCGTTTCCGAGGATGGATACCGCCAAGGGAGCTCAAGGGCTGTTACCAGCCATTATGGATCAGTATTCTGAAAAGATTCGCTTTGTTCAGGGGCACATCACCAAGGCAGGTGGCGACAATTTAATGGCTGGGCTGGATTGACGTGGTATGTCTGATCTGGTTTCTTCTGCAAGTCAGCAACGCGCTTTCCCTTCCCCGAACGTTCTTGTCTCAGGAATCTCCTCTTCTGCTGTATTCAGTTTTACGATTCTTGTTCGGGTCTAGATTTCGTGCGCTGGATCTGCCTCACTGGGCGGGACTATGGCTGGCTTTCGGATGCACAGCGCAAGTGAGAGAGTGTGTGCGGAAACCCTCCCAGACTCTGGGCCGCTACTGCGTGCTGCGAGGTTAAGAACGGCTGTGAATTCCCATGGATTGCGCTTTCTGGACTCTGAACAAGATGATTTATTGTGCAATATACTCAGGTCTCTGAAGTATCCTGGAGTTTTGCTATTCGCATGAACACATCCGGCTGGCGGAAAACTATGTGTTATATCAGAAGACGATCCATCTAATATTATCCCTATCATTGTTGTGATTGTAGTTGCCTTCATCTTCGCCATCTTCTTACTACTGCTCTTGTCCTTTCTTCATTATCCGCCCGGATGCCAAAAGTCTTGCTGAGCAAAGAGGTTACTGGAGTTGTGTGTTATACATCGGCTCTGATGTATACTCATGTTATTGAGGCAGAAGGGTTTCAGCCGCCATCAAAAAATAGTTCACGAGCTTTGCAGCTACCAACTTGGATAGTTAGGAAACCTCTCGGCTTGTGTAGCTACTCCAATGGCAGCAATTTATGCTTCATTATCACAACCGTTATTCTTGAATCCTCCCCACTCGCAAAGACTCAGAACACTCGATCGATTCTACTCCATGTAGAACATCTGATCATTTGACTGTTTGTTGACAAACATGGCGTCTGCGAGATGTTACGTGACGATGGGGCAACAGCGCAGATGTTTTAAAACGTACAGTTGTAGGGGTTAAAATACTGAACATCCACGGATCGATGAGAAGCGGCTTGCGCAACCACAGGTAGAGCGCCATTGGGCTGTGCTCCTATGCAATAAAGCAAACCACGGCATTACCCCATTTCCCAGAAGTTAAATCTTGACTCTCTATATTTGACATACACGTCAAAGTCGCATTACAACAAACTCATACATAGCCTCTC